ATATTAAATACTACAAAGCTATTATGACCATTGATTATTACTTCTATAGGAAGGGTTTCGTGAGTAATATCTCCGGAAGACAATGGACGACCATCTATGACTTCTACATGAACAGGTTTAGTTTTCTTTACTAAAGATATGCTATGTCTTTTAGTAAATTCTTCATCTAAGAAACACGCTGAGGCTCTTGAATCTAACAAGGTAGAGGCTTTGTAATATTTAGGTGCTAAAATAATATTTAATGTAAAACAAGGAGAGGGTTTTGAGGAGAGAATATGACCTTTACTAGATGTTGTGCAAGGTTCCAACCGCACGGTCCCTATTGTAGCTAGACAAACTCATTTTTTGACATATTGTCTTCTTTCACAGCCATAAACTTCATTTTATAGTTGCGTCATTTCTTTGGATAATGTTGAGCACTGTGCTTTGGTTCTCCACAATATAAACATAATCCTTCTTGACGACGACGAGTCTTTTCTTGCTCAGTAAGAGGTTTGAAACGTACTGCATCAATTTGCATATCCTCTACTTCTGAATGTATGTATTGAAGAGATGTTGGTGTTGCCATTGAATTATAGTAACGTTGAGGTCTACTTGTACGGTTCTCAGATCGGAATTCAAAAAAGCGATTGTCGCACTTCACAGCAAAGTCAATTGCTTGACTCAATGTTTGAGGATCAGGTAAGTTGAGCATTAATTTTTTTACCTCATATTGTAATCCGTAGAGAAATTGGCTAATAAGTGCAGCATCATCCTATTTGATATCAGTTGTAAGTTGTCGAAATTGTGAAGCCTATAACGTTACTGATCGATTGTCTTGTCGTAAAATACGGATCTTATTGGTTGCAACACGAAATGCATCATGTTCTCCATACATGGATCGAAACTCTTCCAAAAAAGCCTCTAGATTATCAAATATTGGATCTCGTCGTTCAAGAAAAGATGAAAACCACGATAGTGCCGAACCTGAAAGAAGCGTACCAATGAATCTAACTTGTGATTCTGGAGTTGGATAGCTTTGGGGTTGAAGTTCAATCACAAGTTGCACTTGATCGATAAATCCTCGAAACTTGGATCTGGTGCCATCAAACTTCTCGGATAGGGCAATTCTTGGTTCTCTAACATTTGAAGGGCGTTCCACCATAGGAGAAAGGATATGATTTGGTGCAGATGTTGAAGCAGCTCCAACCATTTCTATATCTTCACTTCCTACCAATCTTGTTGCTCCTTGTGGTAGTAAATTGAGTTGATGCATCGCAAGCATTAACTCCCTCAATTGCTCTTGCATTTGTGCCATTGCACTCTTCATTTCAAGAAGTTCTGCCATGATAACACTTAGAAGAGAGAAGATGTCTAATATCGCTCAAGACAAATAGAAGAGAGGACTTGCGGACAAAGAAAATACTAAGAACAATATCAGTTTACAAGAGGGTAATCCGCAACTTCTAATACGCTTATATCTTAACAAGAAAAAGGGGTAATCCACTCTTAATCAAGATTAGACAAAGCTCTGATATTGTAGGTGTACTCTTGTCAATCTGTCAAGGACAAGAACTCGATGAAAAAACAATTCAGACAAGTGAACCTTCACTCAAAGAGAGGTTATAAAATATATATAAATAAGTATATATATTGAAAGAGAAACTGGAATGGCTATTGCCAAAAGACAAGACAACTAGAGACCCTTGAAACTAGACTAGAAACAAGAAAGAAGTTGACAAGAGTGAAGAAGCCTTCACTCTTGTCTCTATATATACTATCTAACTAGGGGCTACGTGGGGACGTTCTATAGGACCTCCAATATGTGTTCACTTTGTTGGATACATGCCTTGACTTACAAGGCAAGTTTTTCTACGTGTGGGCCACATAGTTAGCTTGATCTTCAAGCTAACAACATGTGTGGCACATGGCCAACTTGTTGACCACGTTTCTAATCCAAAAAGTCAATTAAAGACACCTATGAAGTCAAAGCAGCGTTGTCGTATTAGGTGCTTTCCTGCTCGAGAATGCGCCGGGCGTCTAGCTGTAGAAGGTAGTATGGAGATTCGCCAATAGTCAAGCAGTCTATCAGTTTTTGACTGCTGGAATATAAACGACTGCAAGAATACACCGTAAATCTATACAGATGCCCTTCGACTGCTTGTCGAAGTCCTTTTTGCCCCAGCCGGTAGGTCTCTAGACATTACAGAGAACCCGGAACAACCCAAATTGTTAATCTTTGATACTCCTTTGTACTTACGTTCTTGTATCCACTGACTGTCTTGTTAGATTAACCCAATAAATTTCATTCACTCCGCATACTCAATCCTATAGACACCCTTTTAATTCTTCAATCACAGACGTAACTCGATTTCAGAAAACAGTCAAGAGTAATCAAATCCACTTCATTAAAAATCCCGATTCACCATTACAACACTGACTTCAGCAACGATTGCCTCAGTCTTCCAAAAACCCTATGAAAAAAAAACCAATTCCCTGTCTTCTTTCCCTGTCCGAAGCATGAAGCTAGCTCTCTCCGATCCCTCTCAAAAACTTCCCCCAAAAACTATTCCCTCCCCTAACCTTATCCTCTGAATTTCTTCAATCTTCCGTCTTGGATCCGAAATTGGCTCCCACCGTCAAGCTTAGATCCGAAATTGGCTCTCGCCGTCAGAGCTTTTCCTCCCGTTTTTACCTTTAAGAGATCCTTTTACCGAAAACAACGTTCCCTGAAACGGCACAGAAAATAGGACAGCCTGAAACAGAATCGAAACCTCGTAATCGGGACCACATTGAGTCGCCTGACCAATTCATGTCTCATATTGGATAAGAGTCCAGTAGTAAGACCCGAATTTTCCCATAATTAGACTGCATTGGATTGCCTGACCAATTCAGGTCTCATATTGGGTACGAGGACCCGGATTGGATTCTCGAAATTGGATCCAATTGGCTCTTTGAACCAGGCTCACCCGTCGTGTGAATTGGTCCTTTCCCTTCCTGCTGACTCCCGTTATTGGAATCGAACGAAGCATTTCAGTATGCCCCGGCTAACTGTAACGGGGTGACTAAACCTGGCCACTCAGTATTTGCACTGGAGTTGGTCGTTGCTCCCAATATTCGAGGTAACTGAATATTAATAAAAGTCCCTTTTCTTTATATTTTCACGGTATACTCGTGTTACAACACGACAGCGTTTAGGAGGCTTCTAAGAAGCTTCTATATTAAATATTATAGAATTAACTTACTTTTATCTACTTTTACTTACTTCTACCTATTTCTATATGTAATTATTAGCTTACATGATTATAGCCGTGATACAAACACAATAAATGAATTAAGTATTGGATCAATATATGAGATGTATCATGGACTACCATTAAGATGTTTGGACAATATTTTAGCCATTGAAAAAGTTTGTTTATAATAATATGGTGCATTCTTCTACTCAACAATCATTTTTTAATGCTAATTATGATTATTATCTATAAAATGATTATTTTCTCCCTTTGGGTACCACAAGAGTGTATTGCCTCTTTATAAATTTTTTATGATTCATATCCTAAACACTTGTATCATAAGTAATGTTTTTATTTATAACAATAGTAATCTTATTATTATATTTTAATTTCAAAGATTTAAGCTATAAATTTTATGAATTTCTAGAATATAAAATATTAATTTTTAATCCATCATTTATATTAAAAAGTATTTTTTTATTTTAAAAAAATATTTATTTACATATTTAAATAATTATTTTATATATATTCTACATGCATAAATATTTTTGAAGACTTGTTTTGTTAAATAATTTTTAAAAATAATATGATTATTTTTTATATAATAATTTAATAATTTCACTCATACATACTTATATATTATATACTATGTAATTTGAAAAAATCCATAATTAAAAAAATTCATTTATCTTTCATTTATTGAATCTAAATAAAAAAATAATTTAACCAAAAGGAAAAAAATAAATCTGTATTTTCTTCTAATAAAAATTCTCAACAAAAAATATATATAAGACAATATAATAAAATTAAATTATATTATTAAGTAATTTAAAAAAAAATAAATCTTGGCTACTTTATTGAATTGTGTTGCAATGGAAAGTAGTAATATCAAATTATTAATAGCCAACTATAAAATCCATTTTAAATTGCTCTAAAAAAATTGTAACACTTCCAAGATCACATATAGAATAGTAGAAATTTATATTGATTTTTTGTAAGAGATTTAATGCTAATCCTTTAATAGAGTGTAAGATTACATAAAATCAGAATAAGGACAATCTAATTGTTAAGTAATGTAAAATAATACATATGTATGTATGTATATATAGAATATAAAAATTTCTAAGAAAAATAAATAAATAATTTATTGAGATAATTATTAGAAATCATCTACTCAAATTACACAATAAAATTAGTAAGAAATTTAGAAAAAGAATGTCAATCTTTTGTCTCCAATTTCTTTTTTATTTATTTCTAAAACACTAAATATAATGATTTTCTTAAACAAATATGTTTTTGTAATAACATTATTGGATCACTTGCTACAAAATCATCGTCATCATCCATCACAATACACCTTTGAAACCAATCATTACCCATATATCGACGAACATTCCTTCTACACACTCATATTCTAAATATAAGAGTGGATAAAAAAGGGGACAAATGATGGATGAATGAAATAACTAATGGACGAATGTCGTCGACCGCGGGTGCCACCTTAAATCACGGGCGGGGGGCGTGCTAACAAATCTCTGTCATAACGATCGCGATCAGTGCCAAGTGTCGTCCTAGGTGGCCATCCTTGCCATGGTGGATTATGCACACGTGGCAGATCACGCTCCATCGTCCTCGAAGGGAAAACCTAATTTGGGGGCAGGGCTTGGTACCTGCGAGAGAGCCTGTATTTGCTGAAGTAAAATACCGCTTGGCACGCATCCGAGGGAAAGGATTCGAGCGATGTCGGATGAAGGAGAACACCATGAACGTGAACTCTACGAATCCTTTTTTTTTTTTTTTTTTTTTTTTTTGTCCATATTATAATTACACTATTGCTACGCCAAGTAGGCCGGAAACAAGTCAGGGCGATGGCGCAGGCGACGAGTGTCTACACGCATTTAGCACTGGAATTGAGATAAAAACGTTCATGGCGGATGAGCCCCCAGGGCTGTGCTTGCTGCTTCCAACCCTAACGGACATCCCACACCAGCATTGCGATCACCTGCGTTGTTACTGGAGAGGACGAGGGGACGAATCGTCGACCTGCTCTCATGCATTGGGGTTTTTTTCCGTCGCTCCCAGACATAGTCTAAGTAGACGATATGGTTGTTTTATTGGAGCGATCGGAGATTAGTGTCGGCGATTGCAGCTGTGTGTAGTTTTGATCTTGTGAGTTGACCCACGCCGGCGCCCTATCTTCTTCGGATCCATCCTGTTTGTGAGCGTTTCATTTTGTTATGTGTTTATTCTATTTTTTTTTATTTTTTTTATTTTTTTCTAAACCTTCTGTCTTTGTTGTTTCTGTCTCGTTTGGACGCGTGTTGGTTCTGTGTGGATTGTTGAGTTGATTGTATCTGGGTTTTGTCTGGTGTTGAGTTTGAGCGCTGTGTGTGGGGGTTAGGCGGAGGAAAATGGAGAATGCAGGCGTTTGGGGTTGTTTCGTGGGCTGGGTTTGGTCTTCTATGATGGTTTTGAGGCTTTTTCTAGGTGTGTAAGGTGTGAAACTTCTTGAGATGAACCCGTGTGGTAGGGGGCCTGTTGCACGGCGATGATCGGGGGTTTGGGACGATTTTGGTTGCAGAATATCGGTGAGTGTTTGGCTTTGCGATGTTCAGAGCGCACTCAAGGTCAATGCGTGCATTCCAAACACTTTGCTGATCGCATTAGAGATGTATTTTGCGCTTGCTCTAGCATCGATGGCACTGCTGTGGTGTTTGTGTTGCGTTGTGAATGGTGGTGGCCTCTTATTATTCTAATTCCGATCTTCGTGATACTTGAGAAGAGCAAATAAGGGCGCGATCCTTCAAATTACTCTTTGCTGTGGTTAGACTATAGTTCGCCTCTTCCTGTTGAGCTTTGTTGTAAGATGTGATTTGAAGGGCTTTTTAAAACCAGGCACATTTGACGTTTGCATTAATTAGCCAGTCCAGCTAAGAAGTCGATTATTCTGAATGTTTTTGTTTTCCTAGATGCTTACAGTCAACACCTCAAATCGTCATATTCAATTTGTATTCCTTGAAGCACATCTGGGAGGGTTTTGGCAAGTCTTTCAAGAGAAATTAATAGTGTAAGCTGGTGTCCAGTTGGGAATCTTTCAGAAGGCCTTAAATGTATCCGGTAATCGTTTTCGCCACAGTCTACATCAAGAGAATTTCTAGCAAAATGTTTTGAGGTTTTGAGAGCAGTCAAGCCTTCAGATCTCTTCGTCCGGAAAATTCTGATTGTGTGATTTCTTTCCAGGTTGGTGACGCCGGAGCAAGCAACAGCTGCAGTACTCTCCTCGACACACCCTGAGCATTGAGGACAGCACTCCACAATTGAGTTTCATCGTAAAATGTCGTCGCCTTCCGGATTTCTCACCGATGAGCAACGGAAGTTGATGAGATCGTTTTCACAGGGACGAGACATTCCAGAAGAGAAGAAGTTTGTAAGAACAGTATCTCATGGGCAGCACGCTATGCCAGATCTTGCGGGTTCACCAGAGACACGTGAAAAGTCTGGCGCAAAGCTTGTCTCGGTTAGCAGTGGAGAAGTCAAAAGGGATCGACATTCTCATTCTGGAAAATGTGGTAGACCCAAGAAAGGTAAATTTCTGATCGTGAAGCCATTTCCATCAAACTCCGTGCTTGGTCCGCCTCTTGTTCCAAGCAGTTGGGTATTTGGAATCTGCTGAAGGATTGTCATCTCTTTTCCGCAGTTGTGTAGCATATCATTTCCCACACTTAATACATTTCGACGATGCAACAGGCGGTGGGGGTGGGAAGGGTACATGGGGGAAGGTTCTAACTGCTGACAATGACCTTGAGCTGGATAGGAACGACCCCAATTATGATAGTGAAGAGGTGCAGTTTACTCCTTTGCAATTTCCGTATTGGGAGTAAAGATACTATTTATAAGTGACTACGTGTTATTTTGGATCTTCATGATCTTTTAGGTGAGGGTTGTGGTGAGATTTGTAGAGTGTTTAATCTATGAAGTTTGCTCTCCTGTACACAGTATATGTAAAATGAGCTGATGGTGACAGGATTTTTGAACGCACAGCTTCTCAGTACCATGTTTGGGAGGAGATATCTGGGAAGTTGGGGGTTTGATCCGTCCTGACATTTAACTAACGTTGTTTTGGTCGTTGGACTCTAGGAGCCCTATCAACTGGTGGCTGCACCAGCGTTGCAGTCCTTGGAGGAGTATAAGGGGAAGGTCGTTAGTCTCATCGAAGAGTATTTTGCGGCAGGTGATGTTGCAAGTATGGCAACTGATTTGAGTAACCTCGAATCCCCTAATTACCACCATCACTTTGTTAAGAAACTCATATCCATGGCAATGGATCACCATGACAAGGAGAAAGAGATGGCGTCTGTGCTGCTGTCGGCATTATATGCCGATGTATTGAAACCAGAGCAGTTGGCGAAAGGTTTCACAAACCTGTTGGAGTCTGTGGAGGATCTAGTCCTGGACATCCCAGAAGCTGTTGATATTTTGGCAATATTTTTGGCTCGAGCTGTAGTTGATGACATCTTGCCCCCTGCTTTCCTGTCCAAGACACGAAAGTTGTTGGTAGATGGTTCTCAGGGACTCGTGGTGGTCCAAAAGGCGGAAAAGAGTTACTTGTCTGCACCTCACCACGCTGAAATCATTGAGCGTAAATGGGGTGGTAGCACGCACACCACAGTTGCTGAGGTTCAGGCTAAGATTGTTACCCTTCTCAAGGAGTATGTGGAAAGTGGCGACAAAGCTGAGGCATGTCGCTGCATCCGCGAATTGAATGTGCCGTTCTTTCATCATGAAGTGGTGAAGAAGGCGCTGGTGTTGGCCATGGAGGAACCAGCAGCTGAAGGGAAGCTTTGGTCTTTACTTATAGAGACCGCAGAGGAGGGGTTGATTACCTCAAGTCAAATGTCTAAAGGCTTTACCAGGATTTCGGATTCTATCCATGACCTTGCACTTGACATTCCACAAGCCAAGGACAAGTTGGAGTCGTTCACATCAAAGTGAGCACATATCGTCAATTTGAAATTTCCTAGTGTTAAACCGGCGTGGATTTGGATTTGGGGTCTGGCGGTAGGCACTGAGGTGTATCCACGTGAAAGCGTGTCATGGCTTACTATAATTATTGTGGTTTGCCGTAGGGCTGTGGAGGAGGGTTGGGTTAGCGCTCCGTTTTCACGGGCTGTGGTCTCAGAGCTCGGAGCAGGAACTGTTGGGATCCAAGAGGCCCGAGCTTTCAAGGCGAACGCCACAAATATTATCCAGGAGTATTTCCTATCTTCTGATATTTCTGAGGTGATAACAAGCTTGGAGGATCTTGCTGCTCCTGATTACCATGCTGCGTTTGTGAAGAGACTGATTCTGCTGGCTCTGGACAGGTATGTCCCTGGACTATGCCTTCTTGCTAATAAGATTGCAGCCGTTTGAGAAGGCTGCCTCTAATATGTTCTATGATTCATTACCTGAGTTGATTTGAACCACGCCTCCCCATTGTTGGTGTTGTGTGAGGTGGTCATTTATTCTCATTGGATGATTATCTATGAACAGGAAGAATCGGGAAAAGGAAATGGCTTCTGTATTGGTTTCTGAACTATATGCAGAGGTGATATCCATTGCAAGCATAGCAAGAGCATACACACTGCTTCTCCAGTCTGCAGAGGACACTTCCTTGGATATTCCCGACGCAGCCAATCAGCTGTCCTTATTTTTAGCTCGTGCCGTGGTTGATGATATTCTGGCCCCTCTGCACCTTGACGAGATTAGCGAGCAGCTGGTTGAGGGTTCTCTTGGAAGAGAGATTGTACGCATGGCTCAGTCTATGCTATCTGCACGGCATGCAGGAGAGCGAATCCTACGTTGCTAGGGGGGAGGTGGTACTGGGGAAGCTTTAGAAGATGCTAAGGAGAAGATCAAGTCGCTTCTGGAGGAGTTTGATGCAGGGGGTGAGCTGAGTGAGGCTTGCCAATGTATTCGTGATCTGGACATGTCTTTCTTTCACCACGAGGTGGTAAAGAAAGCTGTAGTGATGGCCATAGAGAAGAACAGTTCTCGTCCTCTTACGCTACTGAAGGAGTGTGCCAACGAGGGACTTATTACTACCAGCCAGATGACGAAGGGGTTCAGTCGAGTGATGGATGCACTTGATGATCTTGCCCTTGACAACCCCGATGCAAAAGACAAAGCAGCTCAGTACGTGGAACAGGCCAAGAAGGAGGGCTGGTTGAAGTCCACTTTCGGTGAAACTGGGCCTTCTTCTAATGTCACAAATGGTTTATGCTGCTGAGCCCGCAGATAACCACTCGTGCTTTGCCTGTTCACCCAGACTGATCTACAGAGCGGCTGCTCAAGGTTGTTCATTGATCAGTAGCAAGCGGATAGCAGGCCTTTTCTGGCTCTCATGTTTATATCAAGTTCTGGCGGTGGCGATGGACAAGCACTAAAGTATCTCATCTTTTTAACGTACTGGGATCATTTCAGCCTCCAATGTCCTGGCGGATCGCGTATGATCCGTAAATGAAAGTCTTATAGAACTTCAAGCAGCAGAGATCTTGATGCTTTCCGCATTGCTGATCTGTATCAGTTTATCTGCGCAGCTTGGTTTCTGTCCAGGTTGAAGTGGTAATTAGGCCTGCTATTGATCACTATGCATCCAGGTGGTTCTCAGGTTGACAGCCCAAGAATCAATTCCTGTTATCAAGTACAGTCTTTGTACTCTTGTTATCTTGTTTCGTGAATAGCTGTACAGCTCGAGGTAGATTTGAAGTTCTATGTGTCTCCTTTGGCCAGCCGCTCTTGTTGTCCATCGTCTTATGACTTTATGGTTGTTAAGGCGATGATTTGAACGCAGTTTAATTGTGTTTCGTGTCCAATGAAGACATCGCAAGCGTAGCAAACTGTGTATCAACGTGTAATCTTTTGTCAATGCACTGAAGTGCCAGTATTTTAAGTATTTTGTGCAGATACTTGGAACTGAAAGGGGGTACTTGGCTCGACTTGTGCCTGGTTAGCTTCTTATTCAGCCCCTAATGGTCATTGATGTAGTCCTTGATTATGTACATTATGTAGGCTAAAGGGTTTTAGTTTGTATTAAATTGTAATGGTAAGTGTTAAGTATGTGGATTTCACTTGTGATTTAGTTTAACAAATTTTTAAGATACAAATTCTGATATTTTTCGACATGATTTTCGACTATAAAAACCTATGAGCTAGAAGAAGTGTGATGTCTTGAGAGTTACATGGTCTCCATATAGGTCAAAATAAATACTATTCTTTTTGTGTGTGTCTTGTTTCTATTATCATGTTTTAATTCTTTTAGTAAAAATTGTACAAGATCTTATTTTGAAACTAGAAATTAAAGTGTTTAGATTTGCAACTACATTGAGTAGCAATGTTGGCAATTATTAGTGTCATTAAAGTTAGAGAAGTAGATATTAATTAAGATGCACAAGAATTCAATTATTGTTGTATAATAAATTCAAACATCTATACTTAAATCAAATATAATATTACTTCGTCTATACATACATATATATATATATATATATATATAGTTAATTAATAAGTATTTCAATTAAAGTGTATCTTTTATGTTTTTTGTTTATATTTTGCAAGTAATAAAAATATATAATAATTATTCATGTAAATTCATTAATAGATTGAAAAAATTCAATAAACTAAAATCTCTTTGATTGAATTTTTTAAAATATTAGTCATCACAAAATAGAAAGTGTTTAAAAAGATGGTTTGACTTCTTGGATTAAATAATTCTTCTACAATAATTATTTCAATAAATTTACTTCAAATTCTTTGTATAATTATATATTAAATCCAATAAATTTATGTATTAAATCTAATTTTTAATATTGTAAATAACAACTTCTTAAGCTAGTAGAATATTTTTCTATCTTTCTTGTGATTATAAATTTTTAATATGTTCCAACTCATAAATCAAGTATTTTTAAACAACATTCATCTTTTAATTTATTTAAATTTAATGCTATTAATATTTTATATATTATTATTATAAATATTATATACTTTTAATAATATAATATAATATTTATATATTAAGTTATTAAATTGTTAAATTATTAATTATTATTTTATTTTTATTTTTAAAAAATATATTATTAATCAAATTTTAATATATTTTATGACTTAAATGGTTCTCTAAAGATTCTCAAGTTAAAAAGTATATTCAAAAGAGCTCAAAACCTTCGCAACCAACTTTGGTCACAAGTTCAATTTTTTATACTTAAGTTAGCACCATTATATGTCAAAAATCCAAATATTACAAGTGTAGAGAGAGTGTGCATTCTTATCACTCCTACTAATCATTTAATAGATAATGTTGGCTTCTTAATTTTAAAAACTAAGTTCTTTAAATTATAATAAAGGACATCTTAGAAAGCAAAATTAGCATTATAAGTATTTATGTTTCTAACAAGTATCAAGATAAAAATAAGCTATGGATTGATAGATAGACCTTCTACCATCAAATCTTTTATGGCTTTTTAGAAGGAATTAAAATATAACAAATTATAATAGAAAAAAATCTTTAAAATATTCAAGAATTCTAAGAAGAGAACAAGCTTATACATAGAATTTTTCAAATTTAGATTCTAACTAAAAGACTTCTTTATTTATAAAAGAAATCTCTATTACTCTTGCAAAAATAAAAGAGGTGTTAAAAATATTTGTTTTTTATAGCAAGTTCTATCCACAATCATATAAGATAGACAAAATTTCATAAGTAATTCAATCACAATCCATTATGAGATATCTAACTACATGAACTCTAATTTTTGTCTTTATATCACAAAGAGTAAATTTCAAGCTTATTATAGATGATATAGCTTTCAAAAAGGGTCAAGTCTTAATGGCTTAGGTATTGAATTCTTCAAATATTATGGAGAGTCTATTAGCTAAGATTACACAAGAATAATAAACTTAGCTTTAGAATATGATTAGTTTCTTCAAAGAATTGTTGAGAAATAATTTTCCTCTTTTCAAATGCTGAGAAAACAAAATCCTAACTAATTAGAAATCTATAAAATTACTAATATACTATGGTCCTTTAAATAATATTTTAAGTGATATTTATAAAAATTATTAATCTAAAGCAATATATAAATATATATAAATATATATATATATATATATATATATATATATAGATATATTCTTAACAACATTTTAGTCACCTAAAAAACCATCCACAAACCTAAGATCTCTAATTAATATTTCTTCCTATTTAAACTTCACTTCTCAAAAGCTTTTGATAAGTTATCTTTGTTTTGTTTTGTTTGTTTTTTTTTTTTTTTTTTTTTTTTTTTGTTAAGCAATGGAAAAAGTATGCTTCTTCATAGAATTTATTAAAATGACACAATTTTATTCAAAGCTGCAAAGCCTATGTATGTATAAAGGAGAATCTATCCAAACAACTCTCAATCTTTAGAGGAGTAAAACAAGGGTGACTGCTTATCTCTTATCTAATTGTAGGAGAATATTTAATTGTACTATTTATGAAGAAATCAAGAAAAATGTATTAGTATCTTTCTCCAAAGCAGTAAATCACAACAAAATCTTGGCCAATGTACAAATTTGGTCAATCTTCTTAAACTACACTTAAATGCTTTAGAAACTTATTCTAAACAAACAAACTAACAATGGTAAAGTCATGCTTCATGGTTAGAATAAAACTTGGATGCCAAAGAATATTTTAGTGTGAGATTGAACAAATCCATAGAATAGAATCCAATTTCTTCTTATGATAGCAAAATTGTGCATTCTAGCTCATTTACTAACATATTGTATTATTTAGTCTAACTATAACATGAAGACTTCATTCACCACCCAGTTTTTAAGTCCAAAGTCCTTAAATGCTATGTACTTATCTCTCTAATCGTTACATTGGTTATATTCTAACTATATCAAAATAAACAAATAAATAAAGAAATAAAATTTTTGTAATGCTATTTTATTGAATAATCTTTATGTGGCAATTAATTTCTATCTCCTTAAAACCATTTAGACCCCATTGCTTCAATGTTACTCCCATATATATATATATATATATGTATATATACTCATATATAGGTATAATATTATATAGGATAAAACATACTATTAGTGAAATTGTACTCTTCAACCCTACAAAATTAATAATACACAAATATTTCTAATTGCAGTTGCCAGCAGTAAATTTAATAAAAATTATGATTATTTCATTTCAGAATTCCTTAAAACATTTCAATCTTAAAAGTTTCGACATCAATACTTCACAGAAATTTTGATTTAAAAATATAAGCAGAATGTTAAGTGCCAGCTCAGTACAACTGTCAAAGTTTAAAATAAATAACTATGAGCGAGTGTTGCTCTAAGTATGAGTACTTAATAAATGTGATAAGTTGTTGGTTCAGATGCATTGACTTGACACAAGGTCAAGCCTATTTCAATGGTTAATTGGATGTATGCACTTCCGATTCCCGCGAGCAGAGTAAAGGTCATGTGAGCAAGGGCATATCAGTTAACACAGCCATGTGGTGACTAGCGTGTAACTATTTATCAGGAAAAAAACAAAAGCAGATACAATTAAAAATCAACATATGATGTCATATCTTAGCTAGATGACGCCATTGCCCAAAATAAATTGCAGTCAAAGTTGCTTCATGCTTTAGGATTTGCGATAAGAATCTACACTACCCATTTGTCACCAGATGCATTCATAGTATGAATCTAAAATAAAATAGAAAGATAATAGTAACAGGGCTGCACATTTCCAACACCTGTTTTCCGTGGTCAACCTTTATCTGTACTTCGAACATCGCCTAAGGGGTACTGAGATAGAAGTTTAAATCCTCTTCTGGCAGGAAGGTAGGAACAAATCCAATAGAAAATTCACTGAACTACACACCCGCTTAATGGAAGTAATCTAAGAAGATGCATTGCATCTATCTCAGAGTAGGAGGAGGCGGTGGTGGCATATTGGATTTAGCCAGGCCCATCCACGCAATCACACCAACTGCGAGTACAATCCAGCCCATCACATCATACTTGAAATCACTGTCCTTTTTCTTCGCTGCCTGAGAAATCATAAAAAACCGCGTGAGTTCGAAATCCTTCAAAATCTACGACAACTAGTGTTAAAAGCAATTTTATAATGCCTTCGAATGTACTTACTGGTTTAGTTGGTCCCGCCGCAGCTCCTACGCCGAGAGCAGCCTGAGATGCTAACTGCTTCTGGAGTTCTTGGTGGAGTGATGGAGCCTGCAGGCAACGTACACAAGCATGTATTATTGTTAGTTTTAATCGCCACCTGATTAACTTTAATCGTAACAAAAATAAAAGAAATTATGTTTGGACACTAGCACAATGACTTCACAAAAGTGAGACAATTCACATGACTTTTGAAAACTAAATTCCTATTTTAGAAAATCCATGCCTTCTAGAAGTAGTAAAGAAATATAGATTTACTCATATGTAGGATTACATGAAAATAACAAAATGGCAGAATATACCTTCTCGGTCATCTCCAGTGCTTTCTGATAAAGCTCATTACTAGGCTCCTCATCAAGTGCTTGCTGAAAGCATCGAGCAGCCTTCTGAAAATAGTCGTTGGCCTCATCAGTATCAGTCACAAGGAAGCCATGGGACGTATGAGCGTTTCCCAGGCACCACAATGCATCATGCTTGCGTGGGTTTATTCTTAACGCTTCCTCCAATTTTGAAACAGCATCTGAAACAATTGCAAGAAGTTCCAACTCGGTTCAGAGGACAGAGTTTGAGGGAAGGTGGAGGAAAATATCAGAAGGTGCTTGATGCAAAGGACTCCCCACTATGAAAAGAAATAAAATTAAATAAAATACACTTCTCCATACTCCTGAGACAATAGAACCCACTCTGTCAAATAGTCAAAAACACCAATCTTTGAAGGTACCACGAAGCACTACAACAGCATAGTCCTGTCAAATTAGCTCCCTTTTTTTTTTGAACTTTTTAATATTAAATTTGAATGCCATGGTTTGCACGGCCCATTGAACCAAAAGGCACGCTTTCAGAGATTAATATATTAAAAAGATGTATGTTCTAGAGTAACCCGCAATTAGCTGTAATGGATGCTTCAAGATACAACTCAAGCTTCCTTCTACCACAGAGAGAGAGAGAGAGAGAGAGAGAGAGAGAGAGAGAGAGAGAGAGAGAGAGAGAACAAAAAAATAAAAATAAAAATAAAAATAAATCTGCAATTACAACCTTGCACCATATCAACGGAATCTTGTCCCTGCCTGAAATGCGCTAGCTCCAACAGCGCGCCTCCCCATCTTGTTAAATTCTGCAGTTACAAATATATTGCATGCGAGGCGCTCAAAATTTTTCTGCTATGTTTAAGCACAAAGGCACCTAAGTACAAATTCCAAAACTGTCAAGATGAAAAACAATGACAAACAGGTTCATGGACATGTAAATAGGTAAGTTAGACCCTCGCTACACTCTACCAATCACCACTCGCCCCACAACCTATTCCCTGAAGTCAACTAATTGCTACACAGTTCCTGAACAATTCAACCACACAATGAGAAAAAATGTGTCACAATTCCAGCAGTAAAAGCTATGATAAACATCCTAACAGCTAAACTTGAGATATTCTATCTAAAATAGAGGCGTGAAATCGTCTACAACTACCTCCTCTATCTTCAACTATACTGAAAAAAACCAGAAAAACAAAAAAACAAAAACAAATCGCACAATAAACATACACCTCGGACGTGTCGAGAAATTCCGATTTCCTAAACTCTTCCTATAGTTAAATGTGCAAGAACAGAACTGAACCCCGGAAAAGAAAAACCAGCTAGTCTACCACCACCCTATATTCTTCATCACACGCCCCAAACCCACAACCCTACCGCCAAAGCACTAACCCTATTCTGCCCAAACCATGCCGACAGCGAAGCAAAACACGCAGTAAGCGAGCGACGAGGCCTACGTCGGCGTCAGTGGGCGAGCGAACGTATTCCGCAGCGGCGTTCTCCCGAGTCTGCTCGAAGAACATCAATCGCTCCAACTCTTCCCTTTGCATATCCATCGAAACCTCGCGCGGGAACTCAGCGTTAAAATGGCTTGTCCCTAAATCAACCCGGACCAGTTACACAGAACCCCACCACACCAAATTGGTGTGAGATCGGGAAATGAATGCAACAGCGGCGGAATCTGGTGCCCACGGCTCTCCGAACAGCGCACCTCTCTGGACGAAGAAGAAGAAAAACGAAGACCGAAGACGAGGATGAAGAAGCTGCAGCCAGTGTTGTGGCCTTAGGGCAGCGCCGCTGAACTGTGGCTATAGGGGGTAACCACGCCCCCCAGTTATAGGGGTCCCTGGTCTTATTGCCGAGATATTTGGCGGACTGCCCCGCCTCCCTCCTCTTCTACTACCACGTCATCATTTCATCCAACCATCTTTTGAATTACCATTCGTTGATAGTTAATTGTTTAATGGGAATCCAGAATTATTATTATTATTATTATTATTGTTGTTGTTGTTGTTGTTGTTCTGAGTATTATTATTATCATTTTTCCTGCTTGTAAATGGGTTGTGAAGCTATGAAGCAGAGATGGAATAGTAGATTACCAGGTACATTATTTTTAGTGCTTAGCAAATCCATACTAAAACCATTAAGAATATAATATTTTATATTTTGAAATACTATACAATCTTTCTAAAAATTGAATTATAATAAGTGCATCTTGAATTAAAACATGTGAATCTACTACAGGAATTCAGGATAATTAAATAGGTTGTGCCATAATACAAGGATGTTTGAAAGACATGAGTCTAATTCATTTATTTGATTTAATATATATATATATATATATATATATATAAAAGGGAGAGAGAGAATCAAATTGATTTTTTTTAGTTTAATATTACCTATAGCATTTTATCAAGTAACAATAATTACCATTTAGAAAATTAAACATTATTTTTCAATAAAAAGAGATAATTATGTCTTTAAATTGATTTGTATGTGATATAAAAATATAATGAATTTATTTATTTAACATATTATGAAAATTATATTGAATCAATCTTATTCAAATTATGAATTGTGTTTTAAATGTTCAAGAACATAAATTGTGTATTTCTTTTGTATATAGAAATGAATATGTGTATACAAAACTCATAATTATAGAATTAAATACCATTAAAAATATGTTATTTAAATAAATCATATACAAGCTTTAAATAAATAAACTACGTAGCTTAAATTATATGAATGGTTTGTCAAAAAGATCACAGTGTATTTTAACATTTTCATATGTTTTTGTGAAATTTTAAATTATAGTAATTTAATAAATAAAACTATTAAAGGATATAAAATGTCAATCATTTTTTACCTGTTTTTTTTTCGTGAAATCAGTACTGCATTAGTACATAACCACTAAAGATTTTGAAAATTGTCAATCTTCTAAATATATCATTTGTTCTAAATAGAATCATTTAATTATGTCTAAAATAATATATAAAATTTTAATTAGGACGTAATATTATATTGTCCTATATTTTAGAGCACTTAGATTATTGGTAAGATTGGTTGTGAGCTTTAAAATCGTAACACATTACAAATACTTTTTTCACAAAGATAATTGGCCAAAAAAAAATTATTATTTATGTTTCGTGTCACAAGTATTATTTTATAAGAATAAAGTTGGTGTTGCCAACGAAAAAGCAAAAAAATAAAATATTATTCTTTTATATCTATATATATTATGAGTTGAACTCGTACCTTGTGCCACTACAGTTGTGGGTAAAATAAATAAATAAATGAAAGAATTAGAATAAATAATGTAATTATTCTATTTATTTATTTTAAATCAACCAACAACAACTTAAATGAACACATTGTCTTAAACACTTGTCTCAATATATATATATATATATATGTATACATGTTTTATGTTTTTTACTTAAAAATTAAAATAGCTGATCAATCTCTTGACAGTTTTATATTCTTAATAGAATTTTTTTTTTAAAACAAGAAATGATATAGACTCTCTTGTTAGAAAAATTAAATTGTCTACAAGATGACCTTATAATGAATCATGAATTGTAGATCTTCACAGAGAAAAAAATAGAAATAAATGATACATGTGTCCTTGCCAATTCAATCAGATTAAAAAGATTCTAACAAGAATGTGTATTTTTTTTAATACAATGACTATGAATGTATCTAAATTATCATTAAAATATCAGTAGATTTGTACTTTGTAATATAATTTTTTTCTTTACAATGTTACAAATTTGATTATGATTGTTTTTTTTTAATTATTTAATTATAAAAAGTTGATATACTATTATTTTTTTTTCTTCTAATATTTATCAGAAGTCATACTTTACATATAAATAGCACCTAAAACGTTTTTGTATATACATTTGATTTTTTATAAATGTTTTTATACATTCTATTAGATAGTGATATCACTGAGAAAATGCAATATTTGTAAAAGAAAATTAAAATTAAAATTTTAAGAAATTTCTTTGAATACATTTTAACAAGTTTTTTTTATTTTAAAAGTGTACCATAATCACAACGTTTTTTTTTAGAAGTTCATTAATATTTATATGTAATATTAGATAATTTATGTACATAAAAGCAAGACTTAGATCATTTTTGATCTTGAAACTTCTAAATCCTTTTATTCTTTACATAATATTGGTCTGTTGCAATTCCCTTCTAAACTTAATGCTATGAAAGACTACATCATATTTGAACTTGTGCATTTATCTATTAAAGTAAAATACTCATGAGTTCCTCATCTACCACCTTTAATTTTCTAATCCAATCTTAATTTTTTGAAAAACAAAATTTGCATTTCTTGCAGCTATCCAAGGAATAAAATAACATAAACATATATCATAAGATATATCATTTGCTGTTATTTTTAAACGTTTTAACTTCTACACTATCTTTTTTAATTAGAAAATTCTTACTCACTTAATATTATTGAGGTGATTTTGAACAAATTCAATATTATCATTTTTCTTGATAATAGGACAATATTACAATATGTCTTAAAATCTAAGATTAATGTGTTAAGAGAACAATTAATAAGTTGGTCATTCTCATCTTCAAATTCAAGTTTAATCATAAACACATAAAATGAAGATACCAAGTTTCTCAAAAACACACACAGTCCCATAATCTTTGCATGTAAGAACAGCAACAAAAACTCATAAAATCAATTTGTCAGTGTCAGTTCCTTCATTCTTCACATCTGGCTATCAGTCACAAAACTACTGCTGCAACATCTTAATGTGAAGGACTTGAGATTCAATCACTCCAAAGCATTGTCACAAAAACAAACCCTTTCTTAAAAAAATTAGATACTCACACTTTCTTTTTTATAAGTCCCAACAGCTGGCCTTGCGCATATGATCAAGTCTGGCCTAATCAACACCTCAACAAGTTTCAAATACTGACGCGATCAGATCGCATGTCTGCAACAGAAACCTGTCACAAATTATGCAAAATCGAAGCGAAAGTCACTACAACTGGACACAGCAACTGAGGGCAACATAACAGAAAGCAATTCCTTCAACAAAACATACAATACCCTCACTTACCGTTCCTAAGAAAAGCATTCAACTTTAAGACTCTACGCTCTGCCAAGTTTATGAGGCCCAAGGGTTTTTTTTTCTTTTTTTCTTTTTTTTATTTTTTCCTGCAACACTGCTCCTTCGTACGATCTCTCATCTGCTTGGGAATCCAGAAGCCCCTGGATTGACACTCAGTAGAAGCGAAGAGCACGAGATAGCTTCCCTCTGCGTGTTCCCGTCCAAAAATTACTCTGGGTCTCATGATCATGCATCGCCCAAGTCGATCGTGTGACACATGTGCGAGATGTATTCGTCTTTGCAAACCTTATCTCCAGAAACTTGCTGTTGCAGAAAGTTTAGCCGATGGCTATATTGTCGGGTCATCATTTGTTCCTTCAACGCCGAAGTACCTAGTCTTGCTACGGCAGAATGCATCGGCTCCACCCCAAGACCATGTATGTGCGTGCGTCAGTGCGTTCGTACGTGTGTGTTTTTAAGTGTTCCTGTGTAAAGCTGGTATACTATGTTTTAAACCTTGATGTATCAAGAATTCTTTTCCATGTAATGAATTCAAGAAACGCAATCTAATCAAAACTGTTCTATGTGTACCACAATCATATACTGTAGATTCGTGCTGCAAAAATCGGTACTCACATGACTAAAACCAGCAGCAACTGATAAAGCAAAGTTGAGGAGAATGCTAGAATTCCTTCAGTCTCCGCAATTCTTGAACGAAACTCAGTTCTAAACGTTTCGGCTCACTCCACATGCAATGTAATTGACACTAGTGTTGCTGGCAGATATGGACCACCTCTCTGTTAAAGGATTGTATACCATCCCAGATGTGTCTTTCACCTAGCATTTCAAACATGTAACCAAGTTTCAGGAAAATAGTTGGGAGATTTCAAACATTCAAGAGTATGAATTCATTGGGAATAGCAGATAGAGAATTCTATACTGAAAATTGAGTTGCGTTACCGTAATAGAAGCCCGATTCATGATTGTAGATAACTCTTCTGGAGTTACGAACTTGGACCATTCATGAGTCCCTTTCGGTAGCTGCCAAAAACGGAAGAATATTAGAAGTCCACATATTTCAAATTTTTACTCTTTTACCCCTCCTACGAAGGTGTCCCAAGAATCTCAATCAAGCGAATATCACAATCGTGTTACAAGAATTAACAGAACATTCACGCTCAGGAAACTCTGGTCGTAATACATCTAAAATAGACTCCAGTGGAGATCATTGCTTTCAACGAGAGGCAGAAATATCAAGAACCCAGATTCTTAGAATGGTTGAAAAGTGTGGTCCACAACAATAGGAAGAGAACATACCCAGCCAAGAATGTACTCAGCACCTATAATGGCAAGACCAAACGAGGGAATTGATCTGTTAAGAGTAGAAATGAAGACCAAGCCATCCTTTTTCGCCAGAGCTGCAAGTGATTTACAAAAATCTTCTGGATCTGCTACATGTTCGATCACCTGCATCCATGCAATAAATTAAGAGTTTGATTTTGCATATCAGCACCAGGAAATGCTAATTCACACAGTCACTCCTAAGGTAAGATATTGACACACAGTATACCAAAGACCAAGATACATTACTCACTCCTCGATCTGCTCGTTATTATCGTTGTCTCACCTCGAGGGCAAGAACCACGTCAAACTTCTGCTGTTCCTGCACCAGATGCTCTGCACGGCATGGTACACACAGGCTTAACAGATGATTGATTTAAAACGAGAGAAAACCTATTGAGCAATCTCATTCTTTTAGTGGCCATCAGCAATTTCCAGGTATATTAAATCAAGCGATGTTCAAAGTTTGGACGCACAGTCGGTTACAAGACAACTTACCAGCTGTTGTACACACATACTTGATGGAAGCTGTAGCAGGGTCTCGAGCCTGGATCAATCAACGACATCGCAACAATTAAGTGACATATCATGCGTTTGAACTTGGACTGTGCACAACGCCATTTGAATAGTTCCATCACCTTGTATTGCACTAAACCCTAAATCCTAAACCCTGCTACCTCAGGCAGCCAACATATTTCGAAGATACAAAAACCTTAAACCTGAAAAGGTCATGTTCAACAGTTTTCCATGATGAGTGGAATAGGCATAAGAGTGAGGAAGTGTGGAGGAACGTACCGCATGTACAGAAGCAACTCCAATATTTTTATCTACGGCATCTACACCCGTGACTTCCCCACCCATCCTTGCCAGAGGCTACAACACAAAAGTCATACACAACATCAGTAGACTTGAATTTGAACCCCCCAAAAGAGTCCATCTGTTAACAATTAATTGGATACAAATGAGAAATTTGATATCATGGTGCAAAATGAATATATTTTACTAAATAGAAAGGCAGCACATAATAATTCTTGCACGGAGTACTCCTACCTCACAAACAAGCCCCCCTCCACAACCCACATCAAGAATCTTCAGCCCTTCTAATGGTCGCGGAGTATTAGCATCCTTCCTGTCCAGGAGAAGCATGTGAGCATGTATACAAGCTTTCATATCACATGCAAGGTACTATTGAGAATGAACCACAGCTTTCGACCACATCACATAATACGGCAGTGCATCCTACAATCAATGCGGAATTTGCGTAGAATCAAGAACACAACAGAGCTCTCACCCGAAATGTTTACAAATCTGCGAACGGACGTAAGACACTCGGGTAGGATTCATGATGTGCAAGGGCTTGTAAGGCCCCTTCGGATCCCACCTAAGAATAAACCGAACACACAAAGAATTAGTACCAAGTATAACATGAAAAGCAAGTATTATCGCACTTTCAATCACAACACCACACTGACTCACCAAAAAGTAGAAAATTCTTCTTAAAAAATGGTTTCACGAATTAAAAATGACAGTGGACATCAAAATACAATTACTACAAGTATGCTGAGCATGGGAACCCGGGACATGACGTTCAAAATTGAAGCTGGAAATACACGACATAAACAATCAAAAATAAAAGTGAAGAGATAAAGAGACCACTCCACCCAATGCTGACCAAGTGTCTACCGCGGTCATCTCAGCTGCTGAAACTTAAAACCCTAATTCTGGTTTTTTGAAAATTTCACGAAAGAGAAGCAGATACCAAGTGGATGCGATGGCAGCAAACTTGGCGGTCTCTCTGGTGTCAACTGAGTTCTTGCGCGCTTCGTGGGTCGAGTGCGCCTGCCTCTCACCCGTGACCGAGTTGGATGACGGAGACGAACCAGGTTCATTCTCTGGAGCATCCACTCGTGTCGCAAGGCGACCCTGATCGGATAGCCTGCTCCACGACTCAGATTCTCCTTCAAGTCCTCTTTCCTTCGTAAGCTCAGCAGAAGCTGATTGGCTTGGGTACTCCTCTCGAATTTTCACAACATTCGGAGTCCCACCCACCTGTAGGGGAAGAATCCGAGTGACAGAACTATGCGTCTGGTACACCCCAGAAGCGACCATCGTCGGTTGTTGCGATTCGACCCCATTGGAAACCATAGAATTTGCAGAATTCCTAGGTGCAACAAACCACCTGGGCATCATCATCGTCCGCCTTGAGACAGCAAACCCATCATCGGCCGTCCCTTTCTGCTTCCCAATCTGCCTCGCAAAGCACGAAACAGCCCTGTAGACACTTCTCGATCCCATCCTGGACATCGCAAGCGCCCCGTCTCTGCTCCCCCGGTGCAAAGCAAAGCAACACACAACTCAACTCGGCGATGAAGACGTAATGGAAATTTCCAAAAACCACTCCGACAAGCGCGCATCCACCCAACCCAACTCAAATATTTTCACTGATGTTGTTGTTTCACGATCGAAGTATGGAATAGAGCAGCATTGTGAAACAGCAAAGAGGGAGAGATGCGATCCATCATCGAACAGCATGTACGCAAGTGTCGAATTCCTTCAGCTCCACATCTGCAGAACTGCCGTTCCTTGTTCAATCCTCGACAGACAGACGGACTGAAAGATAGATAGAATGAAAGGGAGTGCAAGCAACAAAACTTTCACTGAAATGGCGATGGTCTAGAAAAATAAACAAAAAAACAAAAAAACAAGAAACAAGAAACAAAAGAAAACAGCTTGATCTAATTGGGCCATAATCGTTGCAAAATGTTGGAGGATTACCCACCTTCACATAGACACTCTGTTTGTTTAATGTTCATCTCCACAAAAACCAATGTTTCTTCATTATTCCCACTTTTAATAGATAGATAGATGAAAAGATAGATAGATAGGCCTTTTTAATAAATATTGTATGAATGTAATATTAGTTTGAAGTTGCATTATTTTTTATTTTTTGAATTGTAGGGTATAATTTTGAGGATGAAAATCAAATCTCAATACTATATATTTATATCTTTCTCTTTGGATGTAATCATAACATTTTTTTTGTTTTTATTTTTAATTATTTTTGTTTATTTTTATGTTTTATCTACATGTTTATTTTGGTCTAATTTTAAGCAATAATATATGTATATATATATATATATTCAATGTATCTAAGGTAGAATTTTTCAAAGTCTCTGATAAAACAATTCTAGTAGTTTTAATGAAACAAATTTGACAATTATAAGTATCTTGTATTGTCTTACTTGCAACTTTGGAATTGTATTAATTTTTTGCATGCATACACATACATGTACATGAATATATATATATATATATATATATATGTTAAATTGACTGAGTTTTTACTAAATCGACCCACCTTTGTCACGTCCCTTTCCCTCCCAATCTTTTGTCTCTGTCACTTGTCTTATTTACATAGAATACTTCACAAACATTTGGAATTTTTTGTAGCGACTGCAATCAAGGCGGATGATTGCAGTAGATGGGGTGCAAACAACATGATTGAAGCAGTAGTGCACAACCAACTTACACATGAAGGTTTTGATCTTTGGCAAAACTGGAAATGGACTGAGGTTGTTAATCAAAGGAGTGAGGCATGTCTGCTGAGAATTGTGATTCTCAACAATTCTAGAGGGTAAAGTACTTGGTGCCAAAACTATTGTTTTCAAGACAAACTCCCCAATTTGTCATGCTTTAACCAATATCAAAAAATAGACCCTCAACTTTACACTGTAAACTATAGGCCTATAGAAGGTGTACCTCTCAAAGATAGGCATAGCTTCTCTAGAACAAGGAGCTTTCTATCCCCTCAATCTTGGAACTCTAAATATCAATCTAAAGTATTATATTATCATTAGGTCCAAAATAATTAGGTAGCTATTTTCTTTGCATATTTGCTTCTCATCTTCAATTCCTTGGTAAATATTCAAGAAGCAATTGCCATTGACAACAATTCTTGAAAGAGAAGCTTACAAGCATACGAAATATGCACCCACATCAATACAACAAATCTGTAGTCAAAATAGACATCCTATGTAATACAATTAACAACACACACTTTGATACTTGCCAAGGTGTAAACATGAAAGTTAGGATTGGAAAAGTATGATGACACTTACATTTACAATATCAATTTTGTTTTTGCAGCCTCATTATTTGTAAGTATTCTTCTTTAAGTTGGCAATGGCAATGATACCACAATACTCACAAACATGAATTTAATAGGCATCACTTTGATCAAATGAGTTGAATTGTGAGTGATCATACAATGTCTTTCCATCTCTCCAAATTGCAAACTTCCATCCTTGGATCAATCTTCTATAAGTTGTCATGTCAAGATTTGCACAGGACCTCGTCCCCTTGAATGAATCTTATCATCAACAACAACTTAATTACATTACTAGCCCCAAAAACTTTATGCATGGTGGTAACCTTACTTATGCATGGTTGCTCCTTACTGTGCTCTAAAATATAGCGCAAATATGCAATAATCTTGAGCCTCTAAATTTCTAGCCTTCATTGCCAATGCAAAGAGAAGTAGAAGTTTTGAGAATGCTGAAAATTGATTTTTCAAACAAAATACAACATTATCACAACCTCTTATAAATCCATACATGATGAATAATTTTTAGTCATAGAGGCCACCAAAGACGTTGCAAATGTTTGAAGTTGTGTAGGAATTGATTTGCAGTAAACAAAACACTACCAATTCCTTCTAATGCACTGGTCTCATTTGAAGCCTTGATTGTAGTTGTGGCAAAAAATTCCACATGTTTGCAAGATATTCTACGTGAATGGGACAAGTGACAACACAAGGTCAAGATGAGGTATGGAGTTGGAGAAGCCCAAACAATGGGAGGGGGGGAGGAACTGAGATCATGGAGAACAAAGATGCAAAACAAGGAGGTACAATTATGGTCTAGAAAGGTGGATTGATTTAGTAAAAACTTGGTTTGATTTAACATTCCCTTTTACATATATATATATATATATATATTAGAAAAAAAAACCAATTAGTTAACTAGATGATGGTACAATAATTGCAGAAACCTAAAATCATTGATATTTGTATATAATAGAGATTTTTTTGTGATGAAAATGTATTACGAAAAAATTATTAAAAAAGTATTGCAATCTTTAAAAAAATTATATAATTTTATTGATTCTAAATATAGTTTTTGTAATAATTTAAACCTTCTCAATATTTTCTTAAAATTGAAGAATAAATACACTGTAATCAAATTAATGTTGTTTTATGTTAATTTATTTTTAGAAAATATAGTTCAAAAAATCTAAATTCATACACAATATACATGAAAGATGTGTCAAATAAAAAGACAAAGGGGGTGGGAACGGGGCTGGGAACGTGGACCCACCCTTATTGTGTGGACGTGCCCTCTCTCTCCACATAATTGATTTTATACTTCACCCAACCATTGATTTTTGTGGACACATACCATCCAATAGAATTTGAAGTGTTGAGTATATTGTGCATTATTTCTAATTGAGTTGCTCAAAGAGTTTAGATAGGATAAAAATATATATCTATATATATATATATATATAGATAATCACTTTGTGCAAGTATTTCTAAAAATATAATAAAAATAGCAATGGTAATTATCAAATTAATTATACTAGAAAAAAATTTATAATTCAATATTTTTCTTTTATGAAGATATTATTAATTATTTGTTGCAAAACTATCTGATAACATAGAGTATATTTGTTTTAACATTACCAAACTTAGTATACAAAATTTTAGTTTAACTCCTTTGTAATTATATTTAGATATTCTTATATTTTTTGCACAAGAGAAATTCAATTTGATGTCAAAGCTTTGTAAATATTTGTGAACTATGGTATTTGAAAGTGGTCTTATTATTATTAATTTAATAATTGAAGTGTATAAGTCCATTATACTATTAAATATGTTTTAGTGAGTTCCTTACTTTATGCATTGTATATTTCTAATAATGTTTTAAATGCTACAAGAGAATGCTGAAAATTTTGAGATTAAGTTGTTATATTAAGATAAAATGTTCAAAGTCTAAGATTTTATTTGTCTAAATTATTTGTTTGTTGTGTGTCCAATAGCTGAAATTTATTTCTAATATTAGACTTATTTATTTCTTCAAAATTTGTTCTTATATCAATATTTTTTATTATCTTTCTTATCAAACATTTTGTTCTTTAAGTTGAGTTATTCTTCTTTGTTGTATTCATTTATATTCTTCTTGTTGTCTATTGACAATTTTGTTTAATCTAGTGATATGTCTCTTGTCAATGTTTTACAAGTACTCTTTGACAAGGAGCAAATTTTGTTTGGGCATATTTCTATTTATGATAAAAATTGTAGCACTATTTTGTGCTACATAATTTTCAATTTTATTATGTGTCTTCTTTTAATGTTGTTTGTTTATTCTAGATTTTGTGAAGATGTCCAACTTTTTAAAAGTTGTAGTAGTATATGAATAAGAATTTCCAAATGTTTTTAATATACTTTGTCTACTTTTAACACATGATTATATATATATATATATATATATATATATATAACTTTTTATTTTTTTTATTTTATTTTAATTTTAAAAAAATATATCAACCACTACTTGTTTAATAATTTTAAATTTAAAATAGATTAATAAATATAATCTTTAATTTCTTAATATAATATAATATAATAAAAATAAAAATAGACCTATAGTTTTAAATTCAAATCATGATATAATATATAGTAGTCAAAAGTAAATAAAATTTGATATTTATAAAATTATAGCATATTAGAATTTTAAGACATACTTTTTAGATTGGGATTTTATACAAGTAGTTGTCTATTTTTATTTTTATTATCATTTTAATTTTATAATGTTAAATTACTAAGTTTTCAATTAAAAACTAAGAATTAGAAGCACAAATAATATAATATAATAAGATAATGTCTTAATATTAAAAAAATCTTAATGTTAAAAATGAATACAATATATTTTCTAAAAATTGACATATCTAAAATTTCTATTTGAAACTTCTAATTTGTGTAGACACCTTGGTATCTAAAATAATTACTACAAATGAACATGCACTTATTTGATCAAGTTTTTTACCAAATACCTACAACAACCAAAACAAAATAATCAAGTTTTGTCATAACAACTGAATTCATGGATAGACTTTTGTTGATTAATTATACAAAAAAAGGTGAGAGACAATGAAAAATGAAAATGTAATAATATTTCAAAATTTAAAGAATTGATTATAGTACAATGGACAAAAGAAGTAGACCTATATTATCTATCAATCTTCAGATTTAAACTTTATAATACAATATTTGAAAATGTTGTATTTTTTTGAAGATGTAAAATAATATTGTTGGATAAAGAACAAAATACATGTATATGTTATATCATTATTAAATTGAATAAAAATAAAATAAATTGATAATATTAATAATATCAAATTCAATATTAAAAAGAATAAAACAAATGAAACAATACCAAAAAAATACAAACAAAAACAAAATACAACACAATATGTTGAAGATATTGCTAACACCACAAAACATTTTTGCTATTGTTACCACAATTTGCCATCCGCAACATGCTATCACAAGTTTTACTAATGCCACCACAAATTGCCCTAAACTTGAATTGCACACCACAATGGATGGATGACAAATTGTGATGGCAACAGTAAAATAAAATAAAATAAAATGTGGTGACATTAGCAACACCTTACATTAATACATACCACAATTTATAATATTGTATTAATATAAATTACTAATACAATAACAACACACCCCCCCCCCCTCCCCCAAGAATTGCAACATCCACCACACACATCAACAAATGGGTGGGAGCGAGCGGGTAGAGATGTTTTGGTGAGAATCGATGTGTGTTAGTTTGTTTGTTTGTTTATTGCGAATGGATTCGCACCTGCTGTCGTTTCCTTCGTCGTTGGTTAAGACGGCAGGGTATTGGAGGCTTGCTGGGTGTTAGTGACAGTGAGCTTACAATTGGGTTGGGTTGGCATTGCGGTTGAATTTTCGAAGGGGATTTCGTTGTTGTTGGGTGTTGTGAAGGAGAGGCGTTGTAATTGGTGCTTCTGTTTTTGGAGTTATGAAGTTGGGTATCGTGCGGGTGAGAGTGTCGTCGCATTGCGAGTAGATATGTGAGTCGAGGTCCAATTTTCAGCTTCGAGGATGAGCAGGGCGTCGGTGGGCTTGGCATCAAGCTGCCTTTCGCTTAAGCATGCTAGATTCGCTGGACTAAACCTTGGGGGTGGCCTTAGGGTTAGGGCTTATGCTAAACCCCGTGTCAGTTGTGTTGCGTACGAGAGAGGGGAAGAGGTAGATAAAACCAGGAGCAAAAAGAAAAATGTGTCCGATTTTGGACCTTCATTGGCACGTGGGAGGCGATTACCACTCCTGCAATTTGAAACATCTCAGCAGGACTCCAACATATTGCAAGAAACTCAATGGGCGCGTAAGAAAGCTGAGTTAGAATTCGGTACTCAGGTAGACGGGGCTCTTGCAGAGAGCATTATACGTTCTGAATATGATCAACGGAGCTGTAACGCTTTTATTGAAACCAATCTTCTTAACGCGAAAGAGGTTGTTGAGAAGCTCGTGAAGGAGGATGGGACAGTGAAGAAGCATCTGAAGTTTGCAGAGCTTGACAGGGAGAGTTTTACTCGAGTGTTTGAAGTAGCAGCGGTTCGTGTCCCGGCCGATTGGTGCGGAGTTTTTGTGCCAAGTCTTCAAGGACATCTTCTGAATTGGCCCCGTGTGAAGAATGTACCAAGAGTAGAGGGTGATGATGGGGATGCGGCATTGAAGTCACTACTGTGGAAGGACGAGCAAGCTCTTCAGACCACTCAAGGCCTGGTTGAGTCTGTAATTTCTGCGGTATATCCTGAAGAGCCTGACCTAGATGGGGAACAGGCGGACAAGATCAAGAATAAACGGAGGCTGCCGAGTCTGCGGAAGCTGACTCGTGGGGTCGACAGTGCTTTAGTTCAATCCATTAAGTCTCCCAAGAGAGGGCTATCCGAGCAGCCATTAGTTCGAGGCAGGGAAGAGGGAGCTGTAAGCGTTAAGATTGTTGGAGAGTGTCAAAATTCTCAGAACCATGGTACGAGATTTGCTACTCTTTCTGGGCTATTGTTGATTAATAGTCTTCAATCCTAGTTCGAGTTCTGTTTTACGTACCGTTACGTTCCTTGCCTTATCCCTGAGAAGGAGATTCCAGCACTCCAAGCCAATTTTTAGTCATCAAACATGGATAGAATTCACTACATATATTTTAAACTCGACATAGCGGAAATCCGAAATAATGAGAAGCTACGGTAAGATATGGTCGATTTGCTCCTATGTCCATCCACTAATGAAAACTGAGTTCGGTTATTCTTAAGTACAAGTGCGTCCCTCGGAACGGAGAGTTTCTTCTTTTAAGCCTCGTGCTGTGTGCATTGTAGATAATGAACCAAGAGATGCATGGCGGCTTTTGCTACTGGACGAGAGGTACAATGACACGCCTAATGATGAGCTCCCGCAGGCTGTACAGGTGTCTACTCTACTCTGGGGTAAACTTTGATCCGGTGGAAACTGCTGTTCTAAGTAAAAACTGTCATTGGTGAAGTATTTCAGGATTTAGAGTTGTGGTATTTGCAGATTATGGTTTAGATGCTTTGTCGTTTGAGGTGAAACTTATTCAGGGTATTTAGTGACTATCCACAGGCGGTTCTTGCTCATCCTGGATGCGAGCTTGTGCGCTGCGAGCTGACTTTAACATACGACTATTGGCCGATGGATGAGGTGCCTATTTTCTTCCTGCTCTTGGCTTATTGAATTTCTAACGGATAAGAGTAGGTTTAGTAGTATGAGAATCACGAATTTATGAAATAACACGATAGGTATGACTCATTTTGTGTCCCCAATGTAGTTATGCTGTAAGTGGCGGCTGTAACGCACTGTCTACTCAGGTTACGCCTTTGACCTATCTGTTACGTTTGAAGCTAAACGTTCTCCCTGTTGAAGTCAGATCTTGAAGGAAGTCTTACCGCCGGGTATGACTACCCCCACTGCTTTTGAGACTGTGGGCCACATAGCTCATCTCAACTTGCGGAACGAGCACATACCTTATCGTCACGCAATAGCTCAGGTCAGTCACATGATCTAGTGGTTGTCTGATTTAGCGCATCAATTTAACGCTCATTTTTTTAATTCTATCATTATATCTGTCTCTTTTTCTGTCTCACGCATAGAACGCTGACAGATTGTTTTGGAGAAAAACAAGCCAAGAATCCGAACAGTAGTGAACAAGACCGATGTAATACACAACAAGTACCGAACCATGCAACTTGAGCTTCTTGCTGGAAATAGTTCCCTTATTACAACTGTTGTGGAACATGGGTTGTCTTTTCGTCTCGATCTTGCATCTGTGTGAGTTTTATGTCTAATAATATCTCACTTCACAATCTTTCAGTTTACTTGCATTTTGAAAATTTACCTTTATTTTATTTAAAAGAATTAATGAAATTAAAAAAAAAAAATCAATTGGGCATATTCTTCCTTCCTTGGATTTAGCATCATCTCTCCTTATCTGCGCTGCAGTATAGAGTTCCTCGCACTTTTTCTTTGTATGGTACATAAATCCCAAGACCCTGCACCTTGGAAATTTGTTTTCAATGGTTTGATATTGTGTCAACACTTCATGGCTTCGTTCTAGGCTCTGGTTGTTTTTGATCATGTCAGCATACCATTCTTGTGATTGCAGCTATTGGAACTCCCGATTGGCCACCGAAAGGCAACGGCTTATCGATACATTTAACGAGAATGACATCGTATGTAAGTGGTACTGCCTTAATCCTTTTCGTGAATCCTAAAACTCTGGCCTTTGCAATCAGTTTGCTTCTCAACAATTAATCAAATAACATATATAATAAAAGAATTGGTATGAAGGTTTTGTTTAAATGTTTTGTGGTATTTGGTGCAACTATCATTTTTAGTTATTTCACTTCACTGTGCAGGTGACATGTTTGCCGGTGTTGGACCCATTGCTATTGTTGCAAGCAAGAAGGTCAAATTTGTGTATGCTAATGACTTGAACCCAGCTGCTACTACCTACATGCACCATAACTTACGCTTGAATAAGTTAGCCTACAAAGTAGAGGTCTGAATATCTTCTCCAGAAGATGAATACGTTCTTGCTCTTTTATTTACATTTCACAAATGCTATACTCAATTTCGATTTTTTTTCCCTCTCTATTACGTTTGCTTCTTTGGTTCATTGTCGTGTTTAGAAAAGTTCTCCTTAACTTTTATGTTTGCAGGTGAGCAACGACGATGCTAGGCAATTTGTGCGTAACTTACTAGCCAGGAACCCGCCTGTGCTCTTTACCCAAGTGGTCATGAATCTGCCTCTGGATGCAGCCGAGTTCTTAGGTTCGCCTTTACTTCCTCTAACTGGATAATTAGACGTTTTCTGCATCAAGTGCTTAATAAATATAGCCGTGACACAGTGAACTTATTTTCCACATCCATGGAGGACGAAATATCTTATTTTCATTATGGACCAGATGTGTTCGTCCACGCCTTCTCAAGGGACGTTTGGGAGAGACACACTCTGCCCCACATCCATGTCTACGGTTTCTCTAAAGCCAAAGATCCCGAGGCTGAATACTCTGAGGTTCGTCATCCCCTGCATTCTCTGACCTTAAAGAAATTAATTGTTTTAACTCAGCATTCATGCACCTGTATGAGTACTCCATGTGATGAACCTTGTCTGCCAATCCATAGAACAACGAATTTATTTTTGCACGCGTGATCCGGCACTCTTTTTCTGATGGATCATGTGACTTGCAATGTTCATACAGAGAATAGCTGATGTTCTGGGGGAAATGCCTCACCCAATTCACATCCATCGAGTTCGACTTGTGGCTCCAGGAAAATACATGCTCTGCGCCTCCTTTCGTCTTCCTGCTAATGTCGCATTCCCTAGAGGATCGACCATACGAGAATATGCTTAGTTGCTACTTCAGTTTCTAGCAAACGCATTTGCGAAGTGAGCTGTACATGAAAAAGTGGACAGTTCATTTCCAGTTGACTAGTATCGACGGTATACTAGTTTGAAATCAGTTGTAAAGGCTAAACTCCTCAATTTTGCTTATGAGACCATAGAACTGGTACAAGCTTACCACTATGAGTGTGTCACTTGGGGTTTTTTCACACGTGGTATGTGTTCCGATGTATACTTTTAGCCTACAAAACGATTCCTCACTGCTTTTAGTATTAATTCTTTGCTTCCAAAACCACACACAGATCAAAATTAGACCTTTTCTTTCTAAGCGCAGCACCTTCATAAGAATTGCACAGCTGATGCAGTGGATACCCCAGCTACTTATTTTGCTTCGGCCAGGTAATTTGCTATATTTTTCCTTTGACGAGGACTCTTCTCTCTAACATTGCCCTTGCGTATGATAATTGTATACTACCAGTTTTATTTGCTATCCTAGATGCGTTTCATTTCTGCCTTGGTGTAGTCTTTAGTACGAGTCTACAGTGTTTTGGGCTTCACCTTGATTGGTTGGCAGCAGCGATGGTCAGCTTCCTTTCAGCTAAGCTTTCAGTTTGGAACCTGCTGTTTGAGGCATTCTTGTTTCATGTTGTTCGTGCCTGATGCAGAGTTGAACAAGACTTTAGTTGCGTAAAACAAAGTAGGGGCTTGGATTGGTGGAGCTGGGAATACTGCTCTTTAAGAAACCTTCGTACGAGACGAAATCTTCGTAATAGCTTGTCCTCTCCAGCACATGAAGTTATTTTTGGTACTTTGGTTCTCTTTCACCTTCTTAACGAGTGTAATTAGCGGCGTCGAGATATTCTATGAAAGTTGTAAGAAAATATGAGTAAAATGTTAAGGAGAGAAATTAAATGAAATTGGATATATGTCAAGTTATCTTCCAATGAAGAAGAATTCAAAAACATTACTTACCTAAAGGGATCTATCAAGTTTACATCATTTGGCTAAATTCTACCTACGTTGATATGATTTGGTCGGAAAGTAATACGTCACATATTCAGCCCTGAAATCTTTATCTAAATAGCCTGCTATTGATTTCACATTCCATTTCATGTATCTTAATATTGATTTATGACATCGAGAAAGATTCAAGAGACACATTGTGCAAGCTACGGCAGATAATGCTGCATAGAAAATGAATTCTTCAGTCTTACTCTAAATGTGCACACAATAATTTTGAAAATAGAATGGAACAGCACACCATCAACCATAATAATATGCGAGTTTCAAAGAAGAGTTCAAGGTGGCGGTATTCACAATGGACTTTATGTAACAAGTTTCTACAAAAAGCCTGAAACTTGACCAGGCATATCAAAATTGGAACCAGCAGGAGTCCTACCAGTGTACCTGGAAACCAATCTTCTTTCTCAACAACTCTTTCCCATAACCTTCCCTTTTCTCCGTCTTCTTCACATTGCCTTCAGAGTGATACTTGTTTCACTCATCCTTTTCGGCATCTTACTCTGCAACAACCTCCATGTGCTCCTTTTTCCTTATTACCTTCTTCATCTACTTCTCAGTGCTTCTCCACATTAATCCTTGTGCGTCTCCGTCTTTTCGGTCTTCTTCTCGTTACCCTCAGCGTCCTCCTCTTTGTGCTCCACTTTCTTTTCCTTGTTTTCCTCCTTCTTTTTATTGCCTTCAGCATCTTCCACTTCGTGCTTCTCCTTCTTTTTCTCCTTCTTTTCCTTCTTTTCATTACCTTCAGCGTCCTCCTCCTCGTGCTTCTCCTTCTTTTCCTTCTTCTTCTCCTTTTTCTCATTACCTTCGGCATCCTCCTCCTTGTGCTTCTTCTCCTTTTCCTTCTTCTCCTTCTTCTGATTGCCTTCAGCATCTTCCTCTTCATGTTTTTCCTTCTTTTTCTCCTTCTTCTCCTTTTTCTCGTTGCCTTCCGCATCCTCCTTCTTGTGCTTCTTCGCCTTTTCCTTCTTCTTCTCCTTCTTTTCATTACCTTCAGGATCCTCATGTTTGAGCTTCTCCTTCTTTTTCTCCTTCTTCTCCTCCTTCTCGTTACCTTCAGCATCTTCTTCCTTGTGCTTGTCCTTCTTTTCCTTCTTCTTCTCCTTCTTCTCATTGCCTTCATCGTCTTCCTCCTTGAGCTTCTCCTTCTTGTCGTTCTTCTTCTCCTTCTTCTCATTACCTTCAGCGTCCTCTTCCTTGTGCTTTTTCTTCTCTGCGTTCTTCTGCCTGTCTCATGGCCTTCAGCAACCTCCTCTTTGTGCTTTTCCTCCTTTTCATCCTTCTTCACTACACCTTCATCATCCTTCTCTTTGTGCTTGTCCTTCTTCTCCTTTTCGATCTCCTTGCCATGGCTATCCACATGCTCTTCATACTTCTCCTTCTTCTCCTCCTCCTTCCCATCGCCTTGAATATGCTCCATCTTCTTCTCCTTCACCTCCTTCCCTTCATATCCCAGGTCTTTCTTCTTGTGCTTCTCCCTGTGCTTCTTCTCTTCGTCTTCCATCTCCTCTTCTTCCACTTGATCAAATTCCTTCGTGTGCTTCTTCCCCTCTTTCCCTTCTTCCTCTTCAAATGCTTCCCTCAGTTTCGTCTCTTGGTGCTTCTTGGCCTGCTTTCCGTCAATCACATCCTCATCATCAACAACAATTGACTTCTCTCTTGCCTCAATATGCTTCTTATCCTCATCAATGTGAATCTTCTTCATGCCCTCCTCTACCTTGTGCACTTTGTGCCCATGGTCTTCCTGCTTAGGCTTCTTTTCCAAGGCGGGAAAATCCTTGCTTTTGTGTTCGACTGGCATACCCGATTCTTCAGTCTCGGGCTTCTTCTCCGACACATCCATATCTGATTTTCTGCTCGTCTGCTCTGTCGAGATGCCCGATTCTTCTTGCTCAGGCATCTCTGAACTCTCGACGCTCTTTGCGGCCGCTTCCGCAGACTCGGTTCCATCCTTAGAAGAAGGTCGTGCCTCTAATGGAACATACGGGTTTCTATTTTGTTCTGACAGATCCTCAACCTTGGCCTCCTCAGGAATCTTCACATGAGTATCATCCCAATGTGCCACTATCTGCTCCTGCTCAGGCTGCTCAGGTTTCTCAGACTTCTTCTCCGAGAAATCAAAATCTCTGCTTGTCTGTTCCACTGGTGCGCTCTCATCGTGTTCGGGCTTCTCTTCCTTCCCAGCATCCTTGTCCAGCTGCTCCTTGCCCATCCGCTCTACCTGAACATTTGCTTCCTCAGGTTCGGATTTCTTTTCTGAAGTGGGTTTCTTCTTACCTCCCTCTTCTGCCGGCTCCAACCCCTCTGCCTGCAAGCACAAAAGAAGATAGAATTGTCAACAATTGCTAACATACCATGACCCACCTTCGTGTCCTCGAGTTTTGATGACAAAAACCCCTAAATGAGCAGTAATCATCCACGCTCATATTAACAAAGCTATGCGACTTATACTGCGAAAAAAGACTAAGAATGTCAACCTTCAAGCCAAGGTTCTTCATGGCCGCCTCTGCCTCCGCCGCGTTGTCCTTTGAGGAAGGCAAAGCCTCCAAAGGCACGAACGGATTCTGGTTGGCTTTTACCAGATCCTCAAGCTTCGGTGGTGCTGGAGTCGCAACATGGGTGTCATCCCAGTGCACCACTTCCACAGGCTCGGGTGGGAAATCTGCACTAGATTTCTCACTAGCCATTGTAGAGGTTCGCTAAAATCAATCAGATCTCTGCACACATACAAGTAGTGTCGGATCAAGCTCGAGGCACATCAGCACCGGTGGATTCTGTATTATTCAACAAACCTCACAAAAATCAGACGAACGACGTAAACACAACAACATCTCAAAGTTGACGCTTTCCATCTTCACAACAGATCAAGCAACTGCGAAGTTGCAATGAAGAAGGATGGAGAACAAGTGAAACAGTCTGAAAACTGCAATAACTAATCCAGGATATCTGAAAACAATCAGTTCTCTAGATACGCGCATCACAGGAACAACTCAGCAACCACAATAAAAACCAACTGCTAGCTGATCCACAAGCGTGTACCCAAGGCAGGAAACACAGAGATCACACAAAGGCCTAAGTCACTGACGTAACAAGACACGGCTAATTGGAGTGACAAGCCAGACGAGAAGCCCACACAAAAGTTCACGAATCCTGGACACCACAACACCAGAGATCACCGACAAATCACACTGCCAACGATCATGACGATGGACTGTGTCCAGAACCAGATCCACAACATCCACTCCCGACAAATTCCAACGACCTGATCGGCCGCAAAAGTATTCGTTTAATTCACCTGGATCAACACCCCAGATTCAAGTTCCTCCCCACCGCAAAATCCCAACTCCTGATTCGGTCCTTGCTCCGCAAAATTGCGGCACCGCTCTTCGATCACGAATCGGTAACAGAACTCCTAGAAATACTTACAAAACAAAGGGAGAGTGAGTGAGTGAGTAGGTAAGTGTACAATTGTAATGAGGGATCTGATTCCGGTGCTGGGAATATGAAGGGGAGCACTGCGAAGCTCAGGCTATGGATTCGGCGACGCTGGGCTTCGTCTCGATCGCCAAGTGGACGGCCACGTGTTGGCACCCGCATTCGTCCACCACTGATTTCGTGGCACTGATCGTGTTCGGGGGTGCCAGCTAGACTTTTAGAAGGGGAGTCGGACAACGCCACCTGGACGTCGATGACGAGCTGGCGAGCTTTAGCTTGGAATAGTGACCTGGTCTCACATTTTAGCAAGTTATTAGTTGATCTTAACTTGGTGAGACCCAATTCATTGAACTTGTCCAGCAACCACCTATTTTTACATCCTGTGTCAATAATGTATTATTATTATTATTATTATTATTCTTACTTTCGTTTTTTGTCTCACATACGTCAAGTTCTGATTATTCGGAATGGAGTATTGCTTTGGATAGTTAATGAGTGTTGGGTGGGAAATACTTTCTTATATCCTTTGTTGGTTTATGTTTGTGTGACTTGTTTGTTTGTTTGTTTGTTTGTTTAGCATTAGTGTTGAATGAAGATAGATAAACTGAAATCATAGAAACGATTTCAATGATGTTGTTGTTGCTGATATTTTGTTATTCAAATATATCATTTAAATATGCTTTGTAATTTATTTTTTTATTTTATGTCTTTGGTTTCTTGATGGTAATCACCAAGCTGCATGTGTGTGAATGTGTGTGTATATACATACACACACACACACACACATATATATATATATATATATATATATATATGTTGTAAATACTTTTTGTCTTTTCGTTTAATGTTTACACTTCTAAATTTGTTTCATTTTGTGTTCCGAATATTCTTTTAGGAGATTTCAATACTGTTAAATTATTTGTTAGTGATGTAGCACTGTGGTCTTTATGTTTAATTACTTGATAGTGAGGTCTGGAGTATCAAATGCAATACCATGTTCAAGAGCTGGTTTAACTGAATTGTTTGCTTTCCAATCTCAAATAACATTCAAATCTTTAAAATATTATCTCTAAAAAAACGAATATTTTAAAAGTTGTTTCTGTATTGAAGCTGTTTTTATTAGAGAGTAAGGGTGATTGTGTAAATAAATATATATATATATATATATATATAGAGAGAGAGAGAGAGAGAGATTCATATTTTGTGTAATAAGAGATGGGAGAAGATTCTAAACCATTGTATATGGAGTAGAAAAGAAGTAAGAAGTTTTTACAGATGATCTATTTGAGAACATTATGTTGACAAAAACTTGATGTAAACCAATCAAAATGAGTTTCTAATGTAACTGCATCAAAGAGTTTCTAGCTCTATTATTTTCAAACAAATTTAAGGTAAGCCTGACCACGTGCACACATTTCATGGAATACCAAAAGACATGTACTATTTCTTAAGCAACACCTAACAATTAAGAACAATATCTTTCATTTCATTAAGGAACTTTTTTTGTAACTTCATAAATAAGCTTTAATATGTTTATTGAAGGTGGGTACAAGTGCAATACCTTACCAAGCATGTCTTACAATAGGTAACAACTTACCGTATATATGTATATGTATATGTATATATGTTATGCATAAATCCATCTCTGCATGATACCAAAATTTATTTTACAGGGTTATTGTCTAAAATACTGTATTCTTTTCTAAATAATAATGTATGAAGAAAAGAATATAGTATTTTGACAATAACCCTGTAAAATAAATTTTGTCTAAATACATACCTTCAACTTTACATCACTTACCAGGAAGTTTCCATCTGAAGTTTCGAATTCGTTTCTAACTATTAAATTCATTACAATGTAAAATCTCCACTCAATTTTTATAGAAGGAATCGTATATAATTTGTATTTTTCTTTATCTTTTTGCAAAAGAATTGACAACTTTTTATTTAGTTCCAACCACTTTGTAGAGATTGAAAAATAAAGCTAAAATTGATCATAAACAATGTTCATGCAATTGCCAAGGTAAATTAATGTCCCATGTTTTGAATTATCATCAAATGGTATATATTCGATAATATACACAGAGAAAAAGATTGTTTTGAAGAAGATTTTTTTTTTTTTTTTTTTTTTTTTTTTTCTTGGATTTGTAAATTCATTAAAACTACATTTTCATCAAATTGTGATTGTTCTATAAACAAATTTCTAGACAATTGTACCTAAAATGCGCTTGAAATCGGATAAGCACACTCACTTATTTTACAATAAAGAACAATGCACAAAGTATCATAACATTTTTGTTGCGATCTTCATATCCTCTTACTTTGAAGTAATTTAACCATGTATTATGTTGTCAAATAGTCCCTTTACTTTACCCACTCATCATATTACCACCATAACCTCTTATCTTGTGAACCAAAGAGCAAAAAGGTAACGTTTTTGGTCGAAAGTATTGTACAAGTAGTGGATGGTGTGGATATTTTGGAAGGCTTGTCAGATTACAAAGTCGGAGAAAGTCCACAACCTCACCGAAGGAACAAAGAAAAAGATTAGAAAAGAACAAAGCGACTTTAAAAAGTAACCTAAAAAGGTACGGAGGTGGGGGGGGGGCCAGTGGGACAGGGGTCGAGTAATGCGCAGAATCTGAGGATTAGGGTTTAAGCCTCCCTCGCTGTCAAGCGAGAGAATCTTCTCACGCTTGGTTTCAGCGTTGTCGTCTTCGCAATTGGCCGCGCGACTCCTGAATTTTGTTCTGTTTTGACCGAGGGAGAAATGAACCACTGTTTCGTATGAAGCCATGGCTGTGCCGATGGCTGCTGACCTGTTCCGGTAGCGTCATTGCTCGCAGACTTTTTTCGGGGAAGAAGAATTCGGTGCAGGAAGTCGCGGGGTTGCGGGCGGGGTTTTTGTTTCTGGCGTCGGAGAGGTGGGCATGGCATGAGAGAGAGCAGGTGGTGAAGAGTCGTGGAGCTTTCGAAATAAGCCGCAGGTTCTGTGTGTCGAGTTTTCAGGGATTGGGGGGAAGTGCGGGCGGAGCGGGAGTTTGTGAGAGGGAGATGGCAGGGGGGGAAGATGGCGAGGGGAATGGCGCTGGGACGAAGAATCAGCAGCAGCAGCATCGACCGGGAAAGAAAAAGGGCGGGCCTCCTCCTATGAATCAAGCGGAACCAACCATTTTGCGAGAAGGAGAGGCGGATATTTTGTTGCACGGGAATGACGTATTTTACAACAAAGCGCAGGTGACGTTCACAACTGTATCTTTCATGGTCTCGGGTAATGTATTGGAACGGCGGGGAGTTTGCGTTCCGTGACAGTTGATGATTGTGTATCACAATCTACCCTTGACTTCGAAGTTTCCCGAACACACAATACACTCGGCCATTACCAGTTAATATGACGAGTGTGTTTATTCTAAAGTTAGGTTTACTTGAACAGTGTATCTTTGTAGGAATTGAAACGGGATTGATTGGAGTAGAAATAATGTGGAGTTGTTAGTCCTGGGTAGGCTTGGTTACGTTGATATATAGCAGTTTTGTTTCTTTTCGAAAAACCAGTCTGTTGAATGTTAGTTAATTTGCTTCTGAAGGGGTCGGTCTGGGATCGCCTTGTGAAGGTAGTGAACAGGGACATGTCCATAGCCGTCTTACGAGTATTTGCGGCAAAGCGTCAAGAAGAGCATGAAGAAAGTTTGTTGAAAAAGGCTTCGCGGAAGAAGGACTCAAAATCGGCGAATGGCAAGGTGAACGGGCATGACCAAGAACAGGGCGCTTCCGTGGCTGAAGGAGATATCACAAATTCTGTTCCCTCGTCAACCGAAGCTAAAGCTGAGGATTCACCTTTAGAATCTGAAGAGAATTCAGAAATTAGCCCATCTGTGCAGACACAGGAATCAGTAGCTCCTGTTGAATCAGCTGAGGAATCCAAAATTGCCAAACCTCTACGCGTTCTTGAGGTATTACTTCTTTCAAACCAGAAGTGGAGTGTTTTCAGTTGATTGGATTAATGAATATAGCATTTATGTAAGGTGATTAGTACAATTCCAACATCTTCGTGGTCTTCGTGGAATGCAGGCTTTAGCAGCTTCAGGGTTGAGGGCACTTCGGTATGCGAAAGAAGTTGAGCAAGTTGGCTCAGTGGTGGCTTGTGATAACGATAAGGGTACTCTTTTTTGGTTACAACCTCATCTCATTCGTGCACTAAGATTCTTTAATTAAAACCGAAGATTACTACAATGAGGAGATTTTGAATCGGAACCAATTCTTTTGGCATGTACTACATGAAGTGGCGTTATCTAGAGTGGTGTTATGCATATATTGATGTGAATTTGTGTAACCCTGCAGTTGCAGTCGAGGCCTGTGAACGCAACATTCGACTGAACGGAAAGATTGCCTTGGCAAAGGTGACTGCGAATCATGCTGATTCACGTATATACATGCTCTCTCACGAGAAGGAGTTTGACGTGGTACGTATCATATCCATTCCAAAGTGGTCCCATAACTAACCTTAGAATTCTTATTTTATTCTCTGGATATGTTACTATCTAGAGTCTTGTCAAAGGGGGTTGCATACTTTTATCTTGTAGAAACCTTCGTCCACTTCCTTAGCTTCATTGTTTCTTTAGTTTTATCAGCATGTCCATGGTTTTCGACAGTGAAACAGAATAGCAATTAGTTTAATTTGTCCTAAATGGTCCTTAATTTGTTCTAAATGGTGGTCATATGTGAGCAGGTTGATCTGGATCCTTATGGTTCACCGTCAATATTCTTGGACTCGGCTGTGCAATCTATATCCGAGGGGGGTCTTCTATCATGCACTGCTACTGATATGGCTGTGCTTTGTGGAAATAATGGCGAAGTTTGCTACTCCAAGTAGGTCAATCTACCTCATGCTATGGCTAGTATCCCATTTTATCCATGTGCGTGTTTGTGGAATGCGTGGTACCGTTGCTGCTATTCGTGTTCTTTTGTAGCAAAGAAGACACATTTAAGATTTTTGAATGGGTCTAAACTCAATATTTTGACACGACTTGGGTTAAATAGATATGGAGCATATCCCTTGCGAGGCAAATACTGCCATGAAATGGCCCTCCGAATCTTGCTAGCTAGCATTGAGGTTAAATTATCTTTCCACCGTTCTCATTCACATGAATATGCTCTAGTTATATATTCTGATGATGTTTGGATTGCCGCTGAAAGTGGGTTCTGCATAATGTTATTGCTTTGTTGTGAATCTGCAGTCATGCTTATATAGTGTTAGAGCTGTGTTTTTTTCATTCTATCAGCTCAGGATTGTGACATTTTGGCGAATCCTCTGTACAGGCTCACGCAAATCGTTACAAGCGACACATAGTACCTGTTCTTTCACTTTCAGTGGATTTCTACGTGCGAGTGTTTGTTCGCATTTACACGTATGTTTGCGGTTTAAAATACTCGTTATATCGTTTTAAAAAAAAAAGATTACTACTATCATTACTATTTTAAAAATCTTCTTCCTTTCATGTTTTGGGTACATCAAAGGTAGTGGCTGTGCCATATGCATTATGATATGATTTCCTATGTGTTGAGAGGCTTTTTCAGTAGTTTAATATTTAACGACGATGCTCTGTTTTGAGAAGCATGTCTTTTGTCACTTTTCATTCTTGAATTGTCCTTGTCAGTATGTTGTTCATTCAGTACTGAAAGAGTTTTTTTTTTTTTTTTTTTTTTGTAAGTCAAGAACTTTTTTTTGTAAGTCAAAAACTTGTGGTTTGTCGGCGTGTTGCGGTGGGAAATGAATACTACATTTTTGTATCCAGATCAGCAAGTGCGATTAAGGAATCGCCAAGCAAGCTTTCGTATGTGTACCAGTGCGTCGGTTGTGATTCCTTCCATTTGCAACCTGTGGGAAGGGTTGCGACAAGGCAAGGTAGCACACGTTACTTGCCTGGAACAGGCCCAGTAATTTCTCCAGATTGTAAGCAGTGTGGGAAACACCATAATTTTGGAGGTCCAATCTGGTCCAATCCTATTCACGATCCAGACTGGGTAGATTCCATGCTTAAACAAGCTACATCTATGAAGAGTCGTTATCCAGCTTATAACAAAATCCACAGCATTCTCACGGGTGTATCTGAGGCAAGTTTACATTTCTTTGTATCTAAGTTGAAGATAAAGCTGCATAAATTAGTCTGTTTTTTTGCCTTTGGATGTCCCCTGGCACGTCTTGTATTAATATGTTGACGCGTGCTTACTACTCCCGGCAAGTCGTGTCTATGCTGTTAGCATAATTGTTACTCTGAACGTGCCTTTCCTTCTCTCATTGCTTCACAAAACAGAACAAATGATATTGGTTTTGATGTTGGAAGTCTTTAACCGGTAGTTTATTCTTTGCAGGAGATAAATGACGTGCCACTCTACGTGAGTCTGCATTCCATGAGTGCTACACTCAAGTGCACTCCCCCTTCGGCAACTCTCTTTCGATCTGCAGTTGTTAATGCTGGGTACCGCATATCAGGCACTCATGCTAATCCATTGGGACTAAAGACAGATGCTCCTATGGAAATCCTCTGGGACATCATGCGTTGTTGGGTATGTCGCATACATTTTTCTTGTGAACCATTGTGTTGATAGGAGAAAGCTTTGAGCAGATCACTGGGGTCTACTAGGCGACTAATATACTCTCTGCAGTATTGTATGTTATTCCATGCTCTGTTAAATTGTGTTATAGACTTTTTTGTTTTTGTTTTGTATTTTTTTGAGTTCCTCGGGCAATTTTAATCTGGTCTTCATCTCTTCCCAGGTCAAGGATCACCCAGTCAAGGAGACCCAAGGAGACACCCCAGGAAAAGTGATTTTGAGCCAAGAACCTGAAATAGAAGTATGTATTGGCGAGATCCTGCTGTTAATAATGTCTTTGCAGTATCATTCATACCTATTGTAGCTCTCCTGATCATAGTCTTCATCATTGAATCATTGGCTTTCTCCATCCCTGTCTCTAATATTCCATGAAATTTTTGATGTGTAGGCGAACTTCAAGAAGGTGCAATCCGCCACAAGTAAGGCTTTAAATTCCGGTGTGGCCCGGTTCCTGCCCAATCCTGAGGAGTTTTGGGGCCCCAAACCTAGAGCAGGGCGTCATCTTACCAGCAAACACATAGCCTCCCATGGTGCAGCTTTTGTGAATGGAACCCTTCGTGCTAAAGGCAAAGACCCCATTGAAGCTCCAGCTGCTGCTGCTGCTTCTAGGGAGGCTCCTGATGCAAAGCGTCAAAAGGTTTAAAAGTGATCACTTGCAGAATTAGCAGTATTTAATTTGGATGGTAGTGGAGGACTCGAATACAGTGAATTTATTTCTATCTTTCAGTTTTAGGTGTTGCCTCACCTATTTACTGATAGGAATGGGCATTAGTAGATCACGTCATTAGTTTTGACCAACTCAGTGACTTCCCCACCTAAATCTCAATTTAACCTTAGCGCATACACGTCATTTATATACAAGGGGTTGTTTTCATTTTGGATTCATCAAGACGTATCTGCTAAGCAAGTTATCGTCTGTCTAAATGGCAGCGCATGCAGTTTAGAATCCAACTTCTTGTTTTGACCTACATTATTTACAATTTTGTTTATGTAGACATTGATGATGAGAAATTCAGTACTTGGACAGACATTTGCTGCTTATTGTTGTGAACTAGATTTAGCGTGGCAACGAGCTATGTCAATATAAGAAACGAATTAGTGGTAAATGTTTAATTTCGTATTGGTACTGAAAGACACCGAGGCTGTCAGCTTGTTGCTTAGGTGATGAAACCAACATGGGAGGTCTTTTTTGTACACATTGAGATCTTTATTAGATGCCTGTCATTCTTTGGAAGCACATCCTAGCTACAAGATCTTGAACTTACAAATAATTTTTAGATGCGGGTGCCACACCTGGCTGGGGTAACCAGGTGAGATATCAGAATTCATTGTCGACCTGTGATCTATTTTCGGCAACTTGAACTTGACTACAAAATTCGTGAATATACCAAAGAGAAGAATGTCAATGAGTCAGGAATTATCAAATAATAATTGCTAGTTAATCAAAAGTGATGGTGTATTTTTGAGCCGAAATCTCCATCCTTAGGTTGAAAATGTAACATTTTTTCATAAGATTATTCTCAATCATGTAGAAGATTGTATCACGTTTTTTCCAGGGTACCGATTTTCAGTATCAATCTGTCTAACTGACAACCACACGACTGAACTTGAGAGGTGGATAAGAGCCATCAGGTTATTGGAGATAGAATTAGCATCATAGAAATAGATGCATTGTTAGAATTTGTGGAGAAGAAGGGAACCAGGGATTGTACTATTTACAAATTTTGTTTAGCTCAGAGTTAAGCCTCTTTCGTGTCTTATACAATCATACATTTGTATATGAATTAAACAAATATGACAACGAGAATGCGCAGAATCGTCAAATAGATCATGCTGCAAAGTTGTGAAGGAGAAGCGTTTCTGAGATAAATTTTCTGGTCGCATGCAATGAACTCTAAAAAGCTTGTACAGGGACGTAAAGAGGCCCTTTTCCCCATTCCAAAGATAACCACACCAAATCCTTCTCACTTCCATTACCTAACCTACGTCTTCCTCACCTCGCCATGCCCACCATCGCAGTGTTGGTCCCCACTACCTTGCAGTTAAAAACTTAGACAGTTGCATTGACGACGACGACGACGACATTGTAGTATTGGATTGCGCAGTAGTTGCTGGAGGGATGCGTAATCTGATGGGTTGTTGTTGTTGTTGTTGTGAATGGTGTTCCATTTTCCTCTATCCTCTCTCTCTGCATTGCTGAGGTTCAAGTTCACGTTCTCATTCGACGAGTGGGTTCCAAATTCGCAGACAGGAAGACTTTTGTGTGAGTGTTATTGAGTTATGTACAATGTTTACTAGAAATTCAGTCGGGGGCGGTTTGAGAATGGAAAGATTGGCGATGGGGAGGATGGTGATGACTAGTCCCTGCAGCAATGTTGCGGAGTTGGCAATTCGAGCGTCCTCATGTCGGGTTACACAAATCCTGATTGTGAGTAGTAGCTCGCTACGGATTAAGATGAATAGCACGCTGTCTAGTAGTTTTTTAAGGATTCCTTATCTTCGACATAGCCATTCAAGAGAGTGCTTACCATTAGTGCACTGTTCCAAGGGAGATGATGAAAATCATGAGTCTTCCTCCGAGGGTTCTGAAAACTCAAGGTTCTGGCACCATAGCCAGGAAGATCTTGTGGGTCACCATGGCGCTGGATTACCACAATCCGACTTATCAGATGGCGCGGAGCTAAATAGGTCAAGGCGAGAAAATTCTGAATTGCGAGCTTCTTTGGGAGAGTTATCGCAGTCTCTGGCGTCAATCTCTGCAGCTTTGTCCGAAGTCTCGAGAGCTGTGCAGCTTGTGGCTAATTCAGTTGACTGTGGACCTGCGGCAAACCGACTTGTTGTGTCAGAGGCTCCCCCTACTGTAGAGATGTCCGCAGTTCCGCCAGAAATCGTAGCTGAACAAGTATGCATTCCTTTCCAATTCGCCTTACTTGGCTTTGTTTTTCTCCTGCTGCTGGGGACGGGTGGATTGACCCAATCTGAAGAGTTTGTGGATGTTGAACCATCTTGTTATACTATTGTACAATGTGGAGGTGTACAGCCTGAGACTTCTAGATGTTTCAGTAAAACTTGTTCAAATAATACTGTAGAATAGGTGAATAGATTGCTTGACAAGTATTGCCTATTGGTGGTGGTAACTTCGAGAGCTTTGTTCACGAAATGAAATTATCGTAAATCTAGAAAGTTCAAGAGGATCTCAGATCTTTCATCACTTAAATGTAAAGAAACTCAACATTTTTTAGGTTGGCGTGGAGCTTAACATGGACACGAATTTATGGGCAGTTTAGAAATCATAAGGATGCCGAGGATTCTCGTTTTCGGTAAACATGTTCACAAGTCACAAATTTTTGCCTTCAAATTGTAATACGCGTCAGTCCACTAAGGTCCAAGTGTTTGTTTTGACAGGAGTCACTGCGACTGCCAACTGGCGCAGAAATGCCAGACATTACAGAAATTCCCGAAATTGAAGATCCTGCAGAGAAACAAGCTATGGAGCAAAATATACGGGCTCATAAGCTTGCATATAAGATACAGCGAGCATTTTTCCAGGCCCGAATAGAAGGCTTAGGAAAACCTTTCGAGGTACTGTTAAATTGCCCTCCCATAAAGCAAGGCTTCGTTTTTCTAAATCACAGGCAATTTGTCTGTTGCACTTCGAACCACGTAGGACCAAGAGCAGCTGGAATTTGCTAAAATTCGTTTGGGAGGGGATTCGACATCTTTGTATCAAGAATCCGATGATTGATTATTGATTAGTACTTGCATCCTTGATTGTTGCACACAGCTTGCAGTAGACGATTTTGTATCAACCTGTTTGGAGGCGCACGCGATGGGGATCGGACTGAAAGAACTGCAGCTGCAACTCATTTTATTAGAAGGATCCCTGACAGGTGCATTTTCGATCCAGAACCAGCGGTACTCGGACGATCCAATCATGAGCGAGGTAATATTACTGCGGGTCGATGTTTGAACCTGATTGATATCTGTCACTTTGCAAAAATTTGAAAGGTAGGGTTTTGGTCATTACTATAAGACCAAAACTTGAAGCTGCTGGCTGGCTTATAACGCATTTATAATGTGCAGGAGAGTAGGGTGCGATCTTCATGGGTTCGTCTTGTTTTCTCGACATTGGCCCAGGTACTCATTCTTCCATGTCCTTTGATAGTGTTCAACCACGTTGATGTAACGCATCACCGTTTTTGCTTCATGATAGGCACACATGGAATCGTTTATCTAGATTTCAGTCGATGTCACTTTAAATTCCGCAATGACCCTAATTGATTGTTCTTCCTACTTTTCGATCATCTGTTTCTAGGTTAAGGAAAGGTCTCGACCCGAGCCTGACGCTAGCAAAGAGGAGAGAGAAGATGAACCTTCAGATGATTTTGTCAATCAAGTAAGCCGAGGAAAATCAAATTTACGTTCTTTGTAATTTGCTGCGTCATTTGGTATTTGGATGTCTTCAAGTAAGAAAGATCGTGTCTCTTTGGGTTCTCATCAGGAGTAGCAGATGTAGCTCCACCAACGTTGGTGAAGTACGAGATGATTACTGTTTCATTTGGTTTTTTTGCAGTTGGTGACACTAGCATTCGAGCAAGGCTACGATCTTGAGCGCCTAAAACTCGAGCAAGTGAGTTTCTTCGAAACCAATTGCTTTGTATACTAATTTGGTATGCTGAATAATCTTGTTCCCTTTAAAGTACTCTAAAGCATGGGTTTAAAGTATGGCTGGATGTAATGAACGAAAGATGTCTCATTGCTTAAGTAGTTGAGTAGTTTTGATAATTTGGTGCGAGTGACGAAGCTAAAATGGTAGTCATTTCTTACTTGCAATGTAATTTTTCTGCAGAATATGTCAGGGCCTGCAACATCCGGTGCAATAAAAACCATGCGACAGAGTGCTTACTTGGTTTTGCTGACATTACAAAAGGCAATGAGCGGTGCCGTGTAAATCGCTATTGCTGCGTCAGAGACTGGTGTGGTCCTGGTTGCCCAAGATGTTTGGTTCATAAAAATTATTCGAACTTGTAATGTATACAGTTCTTTTAAGATCATTGAGGCATGCTGTGTACCTATCCTACGATCGATGGTTTCATCAGACCGCCCAAGAGTAACATTTATGGATATATTTCAAGATTCAATGCTTGCTTAACTTTTATCCACTGGCTTCACGACATAGCAATGAAGAGAAAGCTGCTACGGTAGTCGATTATTTTTTTCCCCTTGGATAGCACTCAGTTGTTCTCGACACGGAGTGATTGTCTTTGCTGCAGAGTTATAAATATGCCAAATGGACTTGTTACATCCAAACATGCTAAATCGTCCTGACCGCAAACTGCTGAAACTGTTCGCATGTACTCTATGTTATTGTTGTCTGGGATAGTCACCAGGGACCTTCAATATATGAGGCTCGAATTCTCATTATTACCAGTACAGTATTTACCTTCTGACACCACATTATTTACTTAAAGCATTACAGCTGGGTTCAAACAAAGAGTGCTGCTATATTTATTCATGAGTCTAGTACCTCAAGGCTTCAGAATTCAATGTTGGAGAGAAGCCGTGAATTGGCGTGCTGTCCCGACGTGACGATCTCCACGGTGTGCACATAGCTGACCGTGGTCTTCGAGGTGCATTAGGTCCAAAAATTATTTTCCTCGTACTTGAGTGAGTGTGCAGAAGGCCAGGAATGTCTTCACTCAGTTTCGGAGTCTCTTCTAAGTCTCAAAGTTTGCAGACATGATTAGGCACCCGGGGCTCTGCGTGTTTGTAAATACCGTGTTCTCAAGATGGCAATAGCACGCCTGAAACTAAACTTGCCGTGTACCGCCAGCTGCGTATCCTTTCACGTCATACTTTCCCTGCTCAGCGGCTGGGCGAAAGACGCTTTGTTCTTCTGGCATGTGTGCCGGCCTGAGGAGATTGATTGAAACTCAGTGGTCTGGCAAGGGAACATGACAGTGAGCGCACTAATTTTCTGAGTTAAGATAAAAAGCCGGGAATTAGTTTCAAATACTTGTGGGCGAAGAATCTGGCGTATTCACTTGAGGAAAGCTCAGTGATGTTGTCTAATAAAGAGAATAAAAGAGTTCCGATTGTGAGTCAGTTTCAAATGATCTACTCACGCCGACATGTCAAATGTACATGGAAGGGATACATTAGGGATCGAAGCACTAAAAAGTCTTGTATTTCTTCGCATTTCGTAAGGCACCGCCACACTGAAATGGAGACTCAGAACGTGTGACATCTCCAAGCTTTTTCGTCATGCTAACTAAATGTGGACTTCGGAACCTACAATGATCTAGATACATTATGTTGCTATTCTTCATCATCAAGTTGTGAGTTGAATTGAATTTGATCAGTAACTCCAGAGATGTGGCTCCCAGGTACTCGAACCCTCCTCGCCATCCGCTTCGGGGGCGTGCTCTGGATCTGGAGGTGGGATGCACATAGCATTGCACAAGCTAGATAATCCCACTACGAACATATCGTCTGAATCGACAAACACTACCTGTTGGGCGCCAGGGGAAGAAGATGGTGGATGATTTTCTCCTCCAGTGGCATGATGATGCAGATGCTCCATCGTCTCTCTATCAGTAACACTCGCACCGCTGTTGCTTCTGTTTCTACAAAGTGACTCTGCAGTTTCTTTACTCCTAGTCTGAGACTTGCCAGTGCTGGCTATACTTTTATGCGGGATTGCTTCGTCCGCTCGCTCACTTGAAGAGGATATTTGGGACGATGGAATGGTGGACTTGTTCCCAATTGGGTTAGATGTCAGTCTCTGCGACAAGCTTCTTGCTCCTGTAACAAATGTGGATGTGGTGCATTTCGATGATTGCCTTGGATTCTGACACGGTGAGTCGTGTTTCAGGTGATCCAAGTCTACTTTCGACGAGGAAAACTGAAAAAATGGTGTTGGCAATGCGCCATAGACGTCTATCTCACTTCGAAATTGTGCGAAATTGTTGGCCGCAATTGTGGCTGCCGCCTGAATAGACTTGTCAGTGAGGTCTGCTGGTCGTGGAAGCGAGTTCGCCATCTTTGGAAAGTTTAGTAGAGCGCCGTTCCCTCTTAAAGCCAGAGCTGCTGCAATGCAAAAGAACCCCACATTCACACCAACGACATCAATCGTCAGTCATATCTCAATTTTTATGAGCCAATTACGACCCCAAATGCAGATGAATGAAAAAAATCTGCTGGAAGTTGGCAAATACCACAATCGTAAGCACGAGCTGCCATCTCCGCCGTCGCAAAACTTCCCAACCAGATGCGAGACTTCTTCTTGGGTCGCCGGATTTCAGTGACCCAGATGCCCCAGGGCCGCTTGCGAACCCCTCGATAGACAGGGTGCCGGGTATCCCCCTCAACCTTGGCCTTCTTCCGCACTTCAGACTCTTGTCGTCTGGACGAACTGGGGCTCTCCATGCGTTCGCCGGAGTCGTATTGATCATCGAGTCCCGAATCAGCACCTGTATTACCATCCGGGGATCGCTCTTTCTCATTCCCACAGGGCTTCCCCCCAGCGTCTGACATGTCGCATGGAGCAGACGTAACACCAGATTTGGTAAAGCTAATGGCTCAAAGCTTCCCCTCACATAAAATTGGCTCTCAGCTGCACAATACCACTCATGCAACACAATCAGCTCTCATCCCTATCATCGTCACCTCGATTTGTAATTTAGTAGCAATGCCATGAGCAGCCATCGCCATCAACATGAAGTTGTGATACCTACTCGCCATCAACATCAAGATGTGATACCTGCTCGCCATCGACATCAAAATGTGATCATCCACAGTTTTGTGCCATCAACCCCAGCTCAGAGACTTGGAAAAATTGTTTTCCCCACTATGTCACCCGTCTAGTTTGTTTCAATAAAATCGTGTGTGTATAGTGGTACCATTTAAGTCCTTGACCTCTCTCTTCCACAGGCATGCTTGAAAAGACGCCACGTGAATTATGGGCGGTCAAACTGCAGCAGATGCCAGCAAAGGCAACCCAGATGTGGCCAAGCAGTTTCGATGACCAGCTCCATTAAGCTCAAAGTCACTGCAACGTGAAGCACAATCCTCGTCACTGGGTTCACAAAACTTGGAAACGAGGACTGGCAGCAATAGTTGACGGTTGCAAGAAAGAGACTTTTGTGTCAAGCGCCGTGCAGACAGGCAGACAGGCAGACAGATAGCTGGCACTGGAATATTTCACAACTTATCGCAACCGAGAGTGTCGCGCTCCCACTGCCATACTCATGTTCTGTTAATGGATTGTCTGGTAAGCGATGGGACGTACGAGTCTTAACAAGTTAACACCGATTTCGACAACACGGCTCAGGTCATGGTACTGTGACATAAACTCTGGGGTTCGTTGAATGAAAGCTTTGGGTCATATTCTTCAAACACGGATCCTGTTCAACAGGTCAAGGATTCAAGGCTGCGATTATGAAAACCGTTTTTGCTAATGAGCACATATAAAAAATAAAAAATAAAAATAAAAACTCCCCCTAGAGTACCATACAGCGAACTTACATAGTCACCGTCACCAAATACGAATAATGTAATTGAGTGTTTCTAGAATTCTCACTTTTGTGTCCCCCGCGATCATTTTATGTAGCGCTCCTAGGCGTACATTGAAGGCTATTGGAATTCAATGAAGGTGTTTCTTGCACACAGGCAGCTGCAATCTCTCGCAGCAATTCCAAAGAGGTCCATCATCAAGAAAGAATCGCAGGCAGCGTCTCGATTCGAAAGAGTTCGTGATTGAGGTAAATCATACCTTTTGAATGGAAGAAAACAACCACCAGGGCGGGTGCGTTGAAAGAGAAGTCCGCGGGCTACTTGGTATTCTTCTTCCTCCACTCTACTCTTCCACTCCAGTTCACCAATGTAAATGCTTCTCTTAGCACCACTGCGCCTCAGCGTCTGAACCTAGTAGTCTCACCGGACTACATGAACCAAGTTACGAATAACAAGAATGCGTGCCCATTTCTCGCTGCTGTGTGGACGCCGTAGAGGAATTTGAGGTAACATGTGAGTACCAAAGTTGCAGATAGTCACGTACCGGCTCACAAGACGAACGCCTACAAGCTCTTATCGAGGGCGTCGCGAGCTCGGTAATCTATTTCTCTGAAAAAGCCTCTAAAGCTAGTTTCCAAAGTACACTTTGAGGAACCGGAGAGTCGGGTTAGTGACTCACATCAGAGACGCCTCGAACTGTCATAGATTCCTGACGTCGTGGATTGTGCCAAGCTTCGCGGGTTCTGGAGACCCCGATTGCACGAAGTTGCGTAGATCCTACCTACATTCCCACGGCTAGCTCAGTATAAAAATAGTTCCGGATTTTAGTGCGTTTCAAGACAATATGAACGCAAAACAGAGTTAGGCGCATTCCACACTTCGAATGCTGATTGAAGGGAGAAGCTCGAGAGTCTTCAAAGCGACGCACTTGTGCAAAGAACACCGACTTTTCCTTACTGAAGTAAGTGAGCAACTGCTGACCGGTCTTATTGAAGGTTTCTGAAATAAAGTTGCCATCTACCCCAAGAACTGCTGAAGCTGAGATACTAACAGCATCAAATGGGCTACCTAAGGATTTCGGATCAACGCTACCGAATCCGACCAGAATCGCTTCGCGACACGCAAAACTTCCGAATGAAATCGCTACCACACTGGCGCGCGATGGCGCGTTTTGCAGGATTGGGTTCAATTAATTTTGTGAGATCTGCCCAAACTACCTCCCTGCCTTCAGACAATCCAGGCGTGCCGATGAGGGTACTACTACAGCGAGGAAGTTAAGATAACATCCGTCGACAAACAGACCGGAGACCAGATTTGCAGCTCTGTTCCCACACAATGTTGTCAGACGCTAAAACGCTTCGATAAGCGATTCTAAAGGCTTCAGTAAAGACGTCAGGCTCAGGAATCACGCTAGGGTTTATGAAGCCAAGAACTAAAAGCGCCACTTAAAATTCCTGAACGAAGTCCAGAAGGAAATAGGCGCCCTGGAAAAAGAATGAACGAATCATCTAGACTTGCTCGTCCATACCGAGAGTATCTCCTGTGTAGAGATCTATCTCAATGTCGCTACAACAGAGGTCAGAAAAAGGATAATGAAGGCATGAATGAATGCCTCGAATCTAGGACACTGTTCGATTCTGTGTCGCGGGGCGACGAATGCTACAAGAAGACCACAGAAACACCAGGTATTGCTTAACAGCTGCAGATGCGGCACTTGACCACGTCGTACCTGCGGCTTAATTGGCCAACTCAAAAGCCAAATGAAAAAAGACAAACTCTAGGGTTTATTCTAGATGCAGGAACTACCTGAGACACGGTAGCTGCTGCGGCTAGCGAGCGAGGTTGGCAGGGATGATCCGTAGCTGGTGGTTGCATTCAGATAGTTTGGGTAAGGGCACAACCCTCGAGTTCATCGCAAAGCAGCCCTACACAACACAGCATGAGAGTGTTTCTGGAGAGGTGTGGGGCTGTGCAAAATCGATGAAGCAGACTTGGGAATCATCGAGACCTTACCCGTGTCCTTAATGCTCTCTGCTGACGTTAGTGCAGTTGACGCCGCTCTCAGTCCGCCTTTCTCCTAATCTGCAGTCAAAACCTACATATCAACGACCACTTATTTTCTCATCTTCTCCCAGAGGCAACTTCCGTCTTCTGCCCTCCCCCTGAGACACCTCCACTGGCCCACCTACCGAGATGTCAATCTCTCACATACTGAATTCCTTGGACGATGACGCCTGCACTATGAATTATGTCATCGCCCATAAAAGGCGGCAGGTACCCCGTACTCCAGAGGCGTCTTCGCGGAGCTCCACCCCGCTGGCTGGCCTTTCTTCCGTCTCGCGAACTTCAGAGATTATTTCGACGCCCCCTCTTTGTTGCTTGCAGGCCCTTGCTGGCAAACCCAACACCTGCCGGCGCCAATTCATGCAAACACAGACAGCTCCTAGCTCTCTCTCTCTATCTCTCTCTCACCAGAGATTATTGCTTACCGGTAAATACTAAACTTACACCACTTTCCACCTTAGTCTCCACCGAATCATCGTCTCAAACTCATCAACACTTCGAACTCAAATCTATTGGAACACCAACTCTCTCTACAACTTGGACGACTGATGATGTCAATAAACTTATCTAAATTACATGCTAGTATGGAACCCAACTTAATGAAACTTCGTCAGAATGAGTGGTTAATACTCTCTTTGGAAAACAATCCTACAACAACCTCCAGCTATTTGAGATGCAAAGACAACACATTACTGGTATATGTGGCATCATATCTAGTAGTTACACTGCATGTTGTACTTTAAATTGTACAAGATAAGTTTCACGTACACAATTATTGCATGTTGTAGTTTAAGTTGTATAAGATAAGTTCTACGTACACATATGATCAAACTCTCAAAATTAAATATATATATATATATATATAACATAAACAACATTTATATTTATGATATTAATTTTATAACATCAAAAAATTCACACAATGATTTGTATGTTAGTCATGCATTTGAAGATATGTTTGATTGGATTAAAACTTAAAAATCTTACACATTTATTTCAAATATTTTCAAATGTATTTTAATTGTATTGAATATAAATCATGACAAAACATCAATAAATAATTATTTCATTTTTTGATAATCATAACATGAAAAACATCATTCACAAATGTGTAAGATTTCAAGTTTTAATCCAACCCAACATTCTTCAAATGCATGACTTGCACACAAGTCAAGTGACTAAAGAAGTTGATTTGAAGTCATAATTGCATACATGTTGAAGATGAACAATTATCTGTTGAATGAATAACAGAACAACAATAGGTTGGTTCAAAAATTCAAAGTAAATGAAAATTTGTAATTATATCAACACCACAAACATGTCAACAGTTTTAGAAAGTGTACAAAGTTGTTACATCCTGCAGTTTACCTACGATCGAATAAAACTAGTGTTCTACAAACAATCACCTTCATTGTAGAATGACTGTAGCATCGACAAAGCTAAACCGGTTCAATACGATTAAAATCAAAGCATGGAACATCAACTAAATGCATGCAAATAACAAAAGAGTGAAGTAGGGTTCAAAGAACACTCACAACTTGTGCACAGGTACTACAATTGCAATGAGCACCCTCACGACTTCACAATTCCGGAACTAGTTGTCAGCAGGGAGATAGAATACAGATAACTTGCAGAAATGAATCAAGGACAACGTCGATCAGAGAAACAGTGACAACTGAGGTCCCATCTATCATCTCATCTGTATCGAGATTCGACTATCAGTCTATACAAGAATACACTGTACAAGACTGGTTACTGAGCCGCAAGAAGCACTCGTCGATGATGATCTGAAACGGTGTTTGAGCGGGCTATATAAACCTTTCTACTGCATCGCAATCATGGCCAGCATCTTCATCAGATCCGGAAGGATGCCAACAGCAACTCGATTACAGCTGCAATTACCTTCTGCTTAGCAGCAATTCACAGATTTAGCACTGCATTGGTGGATTCGTCATGTCGGTGGACGTCAACCCATACGGTCTGTTTGGCTTGGTTTTCAACTTAACAAGGCTGAAAAGTTACGGTGCCGCCGGCCCATGCGTCAGCTTCCAACGCATCCTCATGTTCCAGGCCAGTCTAATCAAACGTAATGCGCCCGTGGTTCTCGGCAAAGCATGAACGAGGCGAAATCACCAGATTCATTAATCAAATGATCCAGTTCCGCCAGAGGGCATGCACCTGTACTCATCTTTTCCGCCAAGTCAAGTCCACTGACCTTTGGTCCCCATTCGGCAGTCACCGACTGTCGCAAAGAGTTCATCGACGTGAATTCTCCACGTAACTAGACTTCTATTATAAGCGCTGATGCACCGATAATTACCAGGAACATCCCCACACGCAAGGCTGGCTCCGATGCAACCGGCAACAGGATGTGCAGGCCAAACGACCTCATTGGAGCCACCGTAAAAAAACGCTGAGAGGGCCAGCCAGACTCCCACCCACCCACCCGTCCGCATGGGAAAGGATAACAGATGCTGAAGTAAGAATGGAACGAAAAGCCAAGAACTGTCAAAGACATCATTCTCGCTACTACCAGCGTCCCATCTAATCTCATCTCATCCAAGCCGATGAGCTAGCCAGTTTTTACGGTGTATGCACTGAACGGGAGAGAGAGAGAGAGAGTGTGAGACGGAAGTTTCGGAGACGTAGGAATGAACTCTATCAGCAGGAGCCCCTCCGTCGCCCGGAAAATCTCGTCGAAACCCCCTCCTCGCCGGGTCCCCTGCTCCCCGTTTCGTTTCCCTGATGCTGGGAGCGGCGGTCAAGTTGCGCTGCGGATCATCATCGATCCACTGTGGGCTGGGGTAGAATTGGGCCCCCTTGTGGATCCACCACCGTCCTGCTGCGACCCACCCAGCCTTGTAGCGGCGCTGTGATGTTGCGGAGGACGATGCTGGGTCCAAGCCTCCTCCGCGCTTTCTAGTGCCACGATTCTAGTGCCAAACCTAACCACACATACATCCCGCTACTACTATTATTACTACTACTACTACTATTATTAATATTATTATTATTACTACACATCCCCCGCTACTCTACTCTACTCTACACTGCACTTCACTGGACTGCTCTTCTGCAGTCTATCTACAGCTCCTCCTTCTCCTCCGCTGTGGCTTTCTTACCAACTCCCACTCTTTCATGCCCCCGGCTCCCTGTTCCATGTCCCCCCTCCCCGCGCGCTTCTGATGCCCGTGTGAACAGCCGTCGACTTCTGCAACTCCCCTCCGACTTCTGCAACTTCCGATTTTCTAGTGCTTGTGATATTGTTGTTGTTGTGGTCATGCAAGCCAACTGGCAAATGTTGGTTTTGGTTGTGGTGAGGATCGTGAAAACTACTGTTGGTGGGTATTGACTTGACCTTTGATATATCCTTACATTCTGATTCGATTTTGAGCGTACAACAACACGCACTCACTGTGCCAGCATTGCGTCTAGTTTTAGATCATTTTTTTACTTTGAATTTGATATTATCCTGAATATGGATTCTGCTTGTAATAATGTGACGAATCTGAAAGTGTTGGTTGTTAAATTCCTCTGCGTATCAACTTTCGACAGCTTGGTCTCAGGATTGTGTCTTTGGGTTGTGAAAATAAATTCATTCTAGCATTTTAAAATCCACTTTGAAAGAGATTTTATCAACGTAGCAATAAGAAAATAAAAATAAAATAAATATTAATCGTTTGTCTAATTCATCAGATTAATAACATTTAGGTTTTTTCAATACAAAAGTTATAAATAAATAAAATCCAAAATCCCTCGTGTATGTATTCAAAAGCGTTGGGTTGTAGTGCTCCAGAATCCTTACGCGTTGAAAATAGTTCCCACAAAAGTACTGATTGGTCTGACCTTCAAAGACCCTTTTCTTGCAGTGGTATTGCGAGAACATTAAATCAAGTTCATGTTAGTATTATTATTATTATTAAAAATAAATGATTAAAACATGCTATGTGGCTCACAATAGAGCCGCTCACCACATACTCCACCATTAAAAAAAAACCTAAAAAATCCTAATTTCTTATATCTTTTTCCTTTTTCCATATCAATCATTTTTTAAAAAATACAAACAATCAGTATGCTGTGCTGTGGAAAGTGAACCAATGGGGCTCCGACACCATTAGGGGTCAATGCAGACGCAAGTTTCTAGAAGCTTCTAGATCTTTCTACTCCCAAAATACACAAAACACACACACGCTACTTATTTTCTCTATTTCCCCCAAAAAATTATCCATTCATTCATCTATCGATCCGAGTTCATGCACTGTTGGAATGGCTGCCACAAATAGAACAGTCCCTAACAGGACTCCGTTCATTATCAGAACCACATGGGAATTCGATTCATTTGATTCATTGCACATGCTCTCAGTTTCGAATCAATCGTTTGATTACGCCAACTAAAGTGATTTCATGCCCAAGTTTTGTAAATCCCCACCACTTCCACCTCTCTATCAGACTACCCTTTAAACCAACCAACCAACCACCCTCCAGGTTAAAAATTTCAAGGGAAATACCCCAAACATCGCATGAAAAAGGCACTAAAGAGAGGAGAAAGATCTGTTTTTTTGTTTTGTTTTTTTGTTCTTTTTCGTTTCCTTCAAACAAGGTTTTGTCTAAGAGAGTGAGTTCGTTCCACCTCGTCCCATGTTGTAATATCGTGTTTTTTTTTTTTTTTTTTTTTTTTTTTGGTTTTTCCTGGACGGT